CCATTCACGTAAATTTCAAATATTGATTTTTTATGACTACCGGCTAAAGTTGAATCTGAGTTATAAATTTTAATGAATCCAAATTGTTAGAGCGAAAAACAACGACATTCGTATAATATCTACGTTACATCAACATGTGAATCGCATCATTTTGAGAGCACATAAAATTTGATAATCACAAATCTGAATATTTGATCCGTACACATCTTTATATATCTATTGCACTGATGCCTCTTTCAATGTAACTAAAATATCATTCCCTGCAATCTTAAATACCTCTCAAACATTAAAATCTACAGTGTTATAAAAAAATCGCAAAGGTATGAAGTCAAATGTGCCACTCGTTAACGTTAAATTATAACAAAATATCGCTCATGAGAATCGTAAATATATCATAGATATACGTATTTCATCGCACATATCTTTTTTTACGCTCGGAAAAAGTCAACATTCACACACAGATTCGGAGAAAAAATGAAAAAAATTGCAAACAATTTGATCACGCACACGCGAACGAATAAAAAAAACTCAAAGCTCGTGATAAAGAATGTGGTTACATGACAGATAGAGAGTGAAAGGAGAAGGGGGAAATGCTAGGTCAAACAATATAACACGAATAGAAAAGTATACGTGACGCGTCCGGCTAAATCCCAATTCGGCGCGAGCACAAAAGCCGCCTACTCTCCAATCCCATTAAAGTGCTGGTGATATGGGATTTCTCCCATTTTTTCGCCTGTACACACGCGTATCTCTTTCTTTCTTTCTTTTTTTTTCCTTCCATTCGCTAGCCTTTTTTTCCGCTCTCTTTTAGTGTAGAGGAGAGCACTTTTTTTTTGCACGAATGCGCTATTCCTTTGACGTAACTCGTTTTCTCATTCATGCTTCAATTTTGTCTTTTCGAGGCTTTTCCCCCCAGCGAAATGATAATGTGTACGTACATTTGCAAATGCGGAAACTGGCTCGCCTGCTGAAAGCTCTTACTTTTTGTAGGATTACACTTTCGCCGGATGACGTTTGCTCTTTTCATTAGCTTTTTGCGCGAGTCGGACGGACATTGAATTAAACTGAATTTTCACCGGGTAAAGCAAAATTATGTATTTGTTTTACCTTGTGTGAGCGTTTAATAATTATTCTTCAAATGTCTGTGGAGTTATTGAAATTCCATAAAATATCTAGATTTAGCATCTATAACTCATTTTCTGAATGATGCTTCTGCATAATCTGTGATATAATTATCCGATGGCATTATACTCAATAAGTTTTAGCACGAACGATGTCCAATATGTCGTGAAAAATCTCCAATTCCAAACGCATCAGTAAAAGTCACAGTAACGTCAAAGATTACTTTCAGCTCTTTTTCGACTTCAAAGCTATACTCCTTCGCACTCTGATTTCACCCGCACCTCGACCTTCTTTCTCTCAGTGGTCTCTCGTCGTCTCACTCTCTTTTTTTTGTAAGAGAGCTTTCCTTCACGAGGGTCCGGGTGTGCAGCATGTTTTCTCCCTCTCAACTCGGATTCTCGGACTTCCATTTGCTAATTGACCTCGGTGTTTTCGAAGCTCAGTTTTCCGCAGGATATACTCATTCGCGCATTTTCCCTTTTTCTAGTGAAAACTATCCTTCAGCTCAATGGGCCATATGGATTTTACATCTTTTGTGTATAACTGCAGTAGCGCTTTTCTTTGTGCGTAAGTAGAAAATAATTATTGATATAATGAAAACTTGACAGTCTATGGTATTGTCAAACAGAAAAATTCCCCACGTTACTTAATTCATCATCCGTTAATTAATGAATGTAGCCAACTTTGTAAAACGATGAGTTACATAGACAAGAATAATGACGAACTGAAGTCGCTGTTTCATTTCACTTGTACAAATAGTCCTAAGTGTCTAAAAATACATAATAACTCAAACTGTTACCTACGTGAGTTATGATTAACACGACTACATCTCAGTACGATTAATGACTCCTAGTTTCCTCGACGAAAATACGGAAGATCTGTTTTACGCTGCTCCCTTTTTTCGGCTTGTGTCAACGCCGCGAAAAAAAATTGTGCAAGTTGTGAGGGTGGAGACAGCTCGAAAAAAAAATTTATACAGTAAAATGCGGTTATAACGAAATTCAAGGGACCGTTAAAAAAGATTCGTTGTATCCGTTTGTTCGTCACATCCGTTATAAACCATATTAAAATTATCATCGCATAAAACAACTGAAATTAAAAAATTTGTTCGTTACAACCAAGTTTGTGTAATAACTGTATTTCACTTTATACAATGAATTTCTGAAAACTCGTAGTGTAACTGCAAAGTAAAAAAATGTGGTTTTAGTCAAAGAGAAATTTACCTGTGCGAGTTACCTGTAATATCTGGGATATGAAGATGCTTAAGGAAATATCATCATTGAGTTAGAAAAATAGATTTCCCTATTTTTTCTTCAAATATAATATTTAAATAAAAGTTTAATTAATCGATTTTAATCGTTAACGACCTTAATAGTTTCGATTAATGTTCAAGGAGAGTGTTGCTTAATCAAAAGTTTTTTCCAATATAAATATCAATCTTCAGAATGTTTTTCTGTTTTGTTGAATTAAAATTGAATTTTTACTTGTAAATAACAAGAAACTTATTTTAATTCAAAGATTCCATTCAACTTGTTAACGACGCTAAAAATATAGATAAGGAGGGAAATAAGCCGCTTCTAATTCGACCGCGGGGCCAAACATCTAGTAATGATAAGCGAAGGAATGCGAGCGCCCATAATGACCTAGGTTTGATTTTTCTGCGTATGCTGAAATTTCTAGCATTTGAATCGAAGTCCATATTTCCTTGTTTCGGGCGCCGCATCTAAATATGAGCCCAGGGCTTGCGAGTTGATTGCTGTATTTGCGTCTGAAGCACGTGTGCGTCATAAAATAGCTCAGCTGCTCTCTTTTCAAATATATTTGTATTAATTTTAAGTTGCGAGAAAAAGTATGCTTGAAAATGTAACGAGCATTCACATGATGGTGGACGGGATGATGTGTGCGATGCTGTCCTGGGTGTCGCGATTTACTCTTTCTCTCTCGTTAGCTTGATGACGTGGACGAGCGCATTGTGCGTCGTTGCCATAACGCCCTTTTAGACCCCACGAGGACATGTTCCAGGTATCACGGCTAACACAGGTAAACTATTCACAGGTCTAGCTCGCGATTTTGGCCCGGTAAGGACTATTGAAAGTATAGTCCTAGGCCGTTAAAGCGAAAGAGAAGAGTGAGCGGGGAGCGAGAGTGAAATGCGAGACGCACACAGGCTGTTGACGATTGAGAACCAACGGCGGCGGTGGTGGCGGCGGCGATAGCGATGTCAAGTGAGTCCTGGCCTTTGGTTTGGCTGGCGGCTAGGAGCACTGGCATTCAGCGTTTGGTATTAGCTAAGGCAAGTCTCAGCAACTTTTCCGGTCAGCGAGAATTTATATTTGTGTTCAGCGTTTAGTTATAATCTACTGTAATTTTATTTCTGTATTAATCGTTAAATTAAAGAATTAAAGTGTAATCAGTATAAGTATTTCTCTTTGTAATACTACCACTCAACCTCAACCCTTTCACAACTCTCCTTGTTAGTATTGCACTTTACGACATGATATTTTGATGAAACAAATGAATTCCCTTTCATGTTGCTAAAGAAATTTCCGAAATGTCTTACGACTTGAAAATGTCTAAATTCATTCAAATATATTACTAGAATAAAAAAATATATTATATATCATCGTACACACATTAACGATGACATTTCGTATTTCGAACGTATGCATAAAACATTCCAGTAAACCCAAATGCATTCGCGACGAATTTAGAGTAAAAACAACAAATAAAAAAATATTCCGCCAGCGAAGCATTAAAGGACTGTGAAAGGAGTCAAATTCAAAACGCACGTTTTATTGCAGGAATCGGGGCAAGCAGAAATAAAAGACAGAAAAAAAGAACTAGGTCAGCGACTCATTGGAAGCGTGGTGGTTCGTCGCTAGCAATAAAAATTTTCCAAGCCCGAAAGAAACGTTAACGGGATTAAAAGCTGGATTAAAAAGGAGGATAGCCGAAGGTGAGAAACGAGAGGCAGATGTGCTAAAACTGATACCGTGGAGGCAGCCGCGAACTCAAAGGCTTGGAGAATAATTTCCCTCCGCGGTGTAAAGTGGATAACGCCACGAGAAACGCGCTCAAAGGATCGCGGCGTTAATTGAAAATTACTACTTCGTGCCAGCCGGCGAATTTCGGGGCGATTATGCTTATTTCGCATGACGCTTTTTGCTCCCGACGAGCGAGAACTTTTTTAAATGCGGCGAATTTCCCCGACCACGTTATCGGCTTTCTTCTTTTCACGACTGCTTATTGCCACGTACTTGTCGTTTGCTTGCAATGCTTATTTTCAAATTGCAATGGCTTTCCAGCTATTTATTTCTCATGCGAAAATTTTCGGAATTCAAAAACCACACCACGAAATGTTAGGTTTTACGAGTATTGTTATCCACCAACTGAAACCTGTAGTAAACTGTAGCTTCGGTGTTGTCCATTCCGGTATATTTCCATTTCAGCTGTTAGAAGGGTATATAAAACTATTGAAAGATCTTTAGAATTTTTATGACATTGGTTCGTTCGATTCAAATAACAAAACATAAAATGCGAACACATATTTTTGGAATTATATGTTTTTGGCAAAATCGAGAACTCCGTAGCATAATGGGAACTAGTGTGGTTTCCAGGTACAGGTTTCATCCCTTTTCCGTTGCTGGACCTCAATTACAATTATTGATGTAATTTGATCAATTTCGCTAAATTACGTCGAAAATGATCATTCGATGGCTCGAAGACAGAGGGGAGGCTGAAATTCGTGCACGAAAACAATTTTCGCCTCTCTTATGTCGCGAGCCCGTCAAGTTTGCTCATCATGTGAATATTTTAAAAGCCAGCAGATACAAGGAACAACAAAGGCAGAGATGTTGGAGGGCAGCCGTATAACTTACCAGATTTCTAAGCACATTGTCGGGCACGTTCCTGCTGGAATTGCAGAGGGCGCGAGCAGCACTATGTGAGAAAATCACAGGAGCCTTGGTAGTCTGTAGAGCAGCGTTCATCGTCCGCGTCGACACGTGCGACAGGTCGACTAGCATCCCAAGCCTATTCAACTCCCTGACCACCGCCTGTAAAATCGATCAACGCTTATATATATGCATGATCCAAACTCATTCTACTTAGAGTACGGGGCGGGGGGGGGGGGGTACAGGCACTTAACGAGCAGCGCAAACAGTCGCCGCCTGTTACTTTCCAGGCCAATGGCCACCGCACACCCATACCGCGAAAGCTCGTGTTTTGGTAAAGTTACGAGGCTTTACGTGCACTGTAACGCGAGTATCATTTTAGTGATCGTTCGAGAGCTTCTTTTTATCATCCCTTTGTTCAAAGTACGACCTGGATTGTTCGCGAGCAAAGACGATGTGATGTTTCGGTGTATAGCCGATGAAAAGAAAAAAATAATACATGCAAAATTGAAAAGCATTAATGTTGTACGATAAATGGAGTATTGTCTAATTATTTTTCCCATTCGCGTCAGGTGTCTCGACGCATTGTTGCCTCAATTTTATTGTTAAAATATTATTACTGCCAGTGAGAACAATACCTGTTTGTAATAAACTCTTCAATTCGAACCGATAATTACGAGGATAAAAGAGACGAGTGTTGGTATTGTGAGTATACGTCGAAGCGCGCCGACGTCTCCCATCAATGTAATCAATTGAAAAGCTGTTCATTCAAACATTAAATACACTTTGAAAACGAAAAAGCCTAATTCCACAATAAAAATTTGATTAAGTTTATCCCCCGTCAATGCAATCATAAAATCGTGCAAAGGCAAACGAACGGCGACAAATTACTTATAAGAGAAAATCCTTCTGCAGCTGTGCGTTCTCAAAGTTTTGCCTTTCAGACAGCTTATCCTTTTTCTCGACAAAGTAATCCCGACCTCGCTTCATATTCCCAATATGCAGAAGGCGAGCAAGCGGGCGAGCTTTAGGTAAATACTGTAAAGCGTCTTTGCTAAGAGAAGGATTTGCTCAATAATTTGGAATTTCCTGTTATGGAGTATGGAATTTCTTAGAGAATTATTCCGAGAGTTGCTAAGATCAATCAACTTATAGGATTAGTTGGGTTATTAGTCGACTGAATTTCCTTTATGCGAGTTCAAATCGCGCGATGGATAGATTTAGGATTGTCTCTTAGCTGGAAAGACTACTTATTAGCTTGATATAAAGTATTCAAGTCAAATTGTGTACAATTATTCATATTCGATCGTTATTTTTTTATTTTAACTTAATAAGTGAAAGACATAGATTGAATAAAAAAAAGGAAAAAAATTGTAATTTTATTTTATTTTGCGGTACAGATACCCTCTATTAATAAGCCTAGCTTGAACAGAAAAATAATTTTCTCAACACAAAAAAGGAGCAGCTACGAGTGTTGAAAGGTTAAAAGGCAAAGCCTTGAAAAAAAAATCACACACATCCTTCTATTGAAAAACCTTGCGTTTGCTTTTAAAAATAGAGCACCAGAGCTATACTCGTGCACTTCAATCGACAACACTACTCTGGGATTTTTTTTGCTCCCGCCTACATGGCTCGTTAACTCTCTCTTTACCATTGATTCGCAGGAGTGACGCTTTCGAACTACACACGCTTATAATCATGAAAATTGGCTCTCGGTGTGATTGAACGCGAGGATCGACAGTAGTCATACTCGAGTTACGTCCGACATGGATGAATGGAACATTTTTTTTAAGATACGTCATCAAAGAATTTGTTTTACATTGGCTAAGTAGTTTGGATACTGATAAACAAATACAAGAGTTTTGGTCGTGTAATCTATATAATTTCCATAATTAATTTGAAATCACGGTTTATCAGTATTTTATTGATAATAATTTTAATTATCTTATGCTCATAGTTAACAATTCTTATTTTGACTTTCGTTTTTAATATACTATTCAAATTATATAGAATTCAAGATAAACCGGCTCCATTTCTCGAAATTAATTCTATATTCTTGTAGATCAGCGATGGTAGTCAACCGATAAAAGAGCAATACCGCTACAAGATAATTTCATCTACAAAAACATCCGAAATAAAAGAGAAAGAAAGGGGATAGAAAGAAACGTTCCCCTGATAAATTATGCGGCGTACACACAGCTTATTCGCCGTATAATTCGAGCGAACGAGAAAAAAAAATGAATGGGGAAAAATTGGATAGATAATTCCGCGATGCAAAGACAGAAGGTCGGTATAGCTGCGATTAATAAAGGCGAAAGGTTCGGCGGCGGGCAGCTCCAGCATTAACGAATATTCGCTCGATATGGCGCATTGGAGTACGCGCTGCAGTCAAATATGCAATGAGCCCCAGCAGTAATAGCAGCAGCGGTGGCCGCAAGTAGGCGCAAGTAGCGCGCCGTGCCTCCAACAAACATCAAACTCGCTTCGCCTCTCTGTCGTGTTTTCTTCTTTGTTTTCGCGTCCACGCCGCACTGTTATCCAGAGATATTGCGTGAGAATGTCAAACGAGAGACGCAATTTGTTTTTCTCTATTTACCGTGGCCTCGAAAAAAAAGTTTTTTCGATCGATTCGAACGTGTGCTGCGAGCTGGTTATTTATTAGTTGATTTTTCGGTTTTCGAAGTTGGTATGTCGTTTGACGGACGTCACTATATGTATAAGAAAAATATGATGAAAATTTGATTGGATTTCTTTCTCTCAAGGTTCTGTTTTCTACAGCGGACAAAATAATTACGATGCTATACATTCGAAAAATTAAAAAAGAGAACAACAAATATGTTCCAGTAATTATAAATACATATATACAGCTTCCATCACAATAATCAGGGGCGATCGTGTCGCATAAATCGTCTGAATAAAAAAGCGCGAACTAGATTCTAAACGAAACACTCGAGAGTGTCGCAGTATACGCCGATGTCGCAAATGAAAACAGTTTGAGTACACGCTGGAAAGCTCCGCGGTGACGCGCAATACTTTTGCGCTTTCTTCGAGAGGAATCCTTCGCGCCGTCGTGTATGTACATGGCCGTCGCCGGTGTGCTTGTCAGTTCCTCTACCTCTCTTCTTTCTACCCGTTGCGGACCGTATTTCGCGAAACGAGCGCATCTAATTTACGACGTTCTCTTTCCTTCTCTAATTCGCCACCGCGAGGATTTACAAATGCGAAGCGAGAGAGACGCAACGTACCTCTCTCGCATCGCTTTAGCTTTTTCACTGCCGCGCGAGTCCGAGTTAAATAATGCGCAATGAGAACAAAAGCATCCGCGCGCGCTAACAATTTATCGTGTTTTGGGCTTCTGCACTTCGGCCGCCTAGCTGCCACGGCGAAGTTTCGTTATGTCGTTTGCTATACCGCATCGACGACGCCATGATTTACGCCTGCCAATTGCAAAATTCGAATACAAATCAACGAAACGATCGTTTCGCGTTGTTGTTGCGGCCGAATAATGTGTTCCACGCGGAAACGGAGACAATGCCATTATGACATGTCGGCAAAGAGAGTTGCAGTGATATCCGCACGAAAATCAAAGCAAGTATAGCCTAAAGTTCACCGCCGACGGAAAGTCCATTTTTCCAGGCTAATTAATGAAGAGAAAGAATAACAAGTGAGCGGCTTGATTGACAGTGCAGATCGCCGACAAAATGAATGGCAAAATCGAGGTAAACAGGAAAAAGATGAAAGGTGAGTGAGTTGGTTGGTAATAAACGGGCGAGGGTGAGAAGAGAAAGAGAAAGAGAGAGAGAGAGAGAGAGAGAGAGAGAGAGAGAGAGACAGAGAGACGACTTGTACAATGTAAGCAGTAACGTTTCCTGAACGCGTACGTAAGGTTTCGCTAGTGTTATTGATATCGATAGCTTGAACGACTGTGGATATGTGAATTTTCGAAGAACGTTTATTAAAATTCTTCAATCGTTTATAACTTTTGTCCTGCTCATCATAATGGTCTAAAAATTCACACTAAAGTTCACTACTATATAGACAATACTTATACCAATTCGCACGGAAATCGATCGTTTACAGTCCCGCAGCTGATCGTAATAGCCTGGACCGTGCCTCCTCTAACGAGCTGTGCCGCGTGATTTCGTAAGGCTAGACGCGCGCATGTGCGAAAACGGCTCAAAGCTCATATTGTCAGGCCTTGCTGAATGTAAATGTTTTATTATTCGCGCTTTCAGTGAAGGGTAATTTTCATTTTTTTCGCGGTGGTCTTTCAATTTTTCCAGACAAGCCGTAAATGAGGGACTTTTTTACCTTGTTGGTGAGCATCAATGCGTGAGTGCTAAAATTAGAGGGAATTTTTTTTTTAATGAAGTTTTTTTTTGAGAATGAGAAGCTTATCGAAAAAAATTTTTTAACGGTAAGGACATGAAAGCTGGGTTGGTAACGAGGTCATTTTTTTTAAATCGTAAATATGTAGTTATATCATTTAATTATGAAAGTTTTCGAAGTACTAACTATGCCAAATATTAGAGTGTCTCTGACTTATCTATTTTATTTTAATTACAGTTCCGGTATATTTTAACGATGATATATACGTTGCCGTGAATTCAAAAAAGTTTATCCAACATTCACTTTTTCGAAAAAAAAATATTTGATTACTCTAACAAATGATCAGTCGGGTCGAGTCAAAATGACAAACAAAAAACAAGAAAAAAAAGACAGAACAAAGAGAACAGACCTGCCAAATCCCAGCGGAATAAAAAAAGCCAGACAATAGCATCTCTATCGAGCGTGAATCTGCACAGTGGAAAAACGGAATTCGTTGACCAAACCAATAAACCGTGTCTGACAGTGCCAAGTCAATTATCAACAGAAGGCATCTCTATCGAGGGCGAATCGCGCAAAAATTAGCGTGCTTCACTTGGCTCGACTATCGGAAAGAAAAACAAAGACGTATATTGTACCAACGGTGCACACAAAACCAACAATAGTTTACAGCAAGCGAATCCTTGGCGATGTTTTTTCTTTGCCGTCGTTGCTGCGCTGTTGAATTCGATTTCGAGGCGTGTGTTTGCTTGGCCAACGTCGAACGTATGCAAAGCCGAGGAACAAATAACCGGTACGGAGTTATTACATCCGCAGCTTTGACGCCGCGCGATGTTTTCCTACGGCCTCCATATCCAGCAGCCGAAATCAAAATAATGTTGCGTTTATATACCTATACATATGTACATATCTATGAGTTGGATCGGATATTGTAGTCTTTTAGAAAAAGTAGGGGATATGTAATCACTTTTTGATGCGGCATTTTTAAATTCAGCGATAAAAAATTCAATATTTTTTCCGTGTGTAGCTTCTAACCGCAAATAAATAAACGAACAATAAGGAACTTGTTATACGTGATAAAAATATCGACGTGAAAATAGAAATACCATTGTTCAACGAGCCTCATAAAACAAAAAAAAATGGGAGTAGAAAAAACAGCGACGAATATCGTACGAAATATAAGATTCTATTGAAAAATTTTCGATAGCCGGAGAAAAATAGCGAGAATGCGCTGGGCCCGCGAAATCATTTGGAATATCGGTTGCACGCACGTAGCCCCCCTTCCCATACGAAATAATAAAAGAAAACCGCACTACAAATGGACGAAAAACGCATTCGCGGTTGGCTGTACGCGTTGCAAATAATAAAAGAGACGGGGCGTTGTTGCGGGGAATCGTCACGTATTTCTGCAGAGCAGTGATTTTTGTCGTTTGTTTTTTTTTTTTTTTTTTTAATTCAGATTCCCAGCTCGAACGGCCAAATTGATTGATTGATTCGTTTTTTCTTCAAGCGCATTATCGGCATTACTGGTTTTTCGATATAGTTTATCTTTTTGCTGTAGAGCGGGAGGAGAGACGCGTTTTCGTAGTGACTAATGAATGCAGCTGCTGTTAATTGAATGCGTGATTAATAATGGATGAAGCATTCCAAATGTTGAAATAATAAGCTTCGTAGCGTTCGGTTCTTCATGATTTATCAATTGTGTCTTTATTCATTTGCCATTTGCAAAAAAAGAAAAATAATAATGACAGTGATAATCAAAAGAGTGGAGTAACGACTTTGTTTTTATCTCACGAGATAAAGTAGAAATATTTACTGCGTGAATATATCCTATGGCAAGGAAAGAATCTTGTAAAACCATATCGCTATTCCATATTTCAAACCGCATGTCATCTTGTATATAGCGACATTTTCCACGGGGACCGAAACAGTACATTCCCTTTTTTACTGACTGCAAGTCAATATATTTCGTCTTTATGATATCGGCGCGCGAAGAAATCTAGAAAATCATAGCTGCACAAGGTGGCAATATCTCATGATCATCCAATCATGAGATATCGTCTCTATTGCACAAGAGACAATATAAATAACAGCAGTCTAACAAATTGAGGGATTGAGATACACAAATGTTAAAATAAATCCAGAAAGTCAAGATATTGAGGAAGTTTGTGTGTAATTTATTTTTAGTACATACTAATTCTATTCTTTTAGAATCGATAATCCGAGCTTTGCCGGGATCTATCATACCATATTCTAAAAATTTGGATTTTAAGGGGCTGATGTCCCGTTCGGTCGATTAAATTTGAGCTGTTGTATACATAAATTATGAAAGACATTTTGGTAAATGACTTATTGAGTAAATTGATGTTCAAATATTTCAATCATTTGTGAATTCTGTATTATTAATCTCCTAAATAATTTACAGCAAAAACAATTCCAACAAATTGGATCATTCCGTTGCAAATCCTAGTATTTATTATATTGCATTTGACTCTTCTGTGCGTTGATTTATTTAGCATATTACAGCGAATTATTTTCTTTTACATATAAATTCAGTATATAATTATTGAAGTTAGATAATAGTCTACATTATATTACTTAGCACAAACTAAGCAAGTTAGATGTCTTTGAATATTTATTGTTTTAAAATAAAATTGAATACCACCTATTTGATTTTTAAAGACGCTAAATTTCAAATAATTATGTCGGGACTATGATACAAACTCATTACTTTTAACATCTATGATAATGAAAATCCAAATGTTTTCAGTTCTTATCATTATTAATGGAATATTTAAATCAGTATTAGTAAATTTCGAAGTGAAGGAGAATTTAAAAAGAAACTTAGAATGATGATAATGCGCTTACAAGGCAAATAATAAAATCAATAAAAGCGTACAAGGATCTTGAAGCTATGCAAAGTGTGCTCATAAATCGAGCCTCAACCAAGCATCACTACAAAGTCAAACAACCGCAAAGTCCTCGAGAATTGACTGGGTGGTGCTTTTTGAAAATTTAAAGAAGGTGAAACCCTGCTGGCAACAGTAGTTTACTTTATGCGCTGAGCTCGGTCGTTCGCGCACACATATACCAGAATGCATGTGGTGAAGGACTTATATTGTACACTAAAGTAGAAAAGAGACGTATAAAAGTAGCTTTTATGCAAACTCACCTTTCCAAATTCGCTAAGACCTGGCGTCAAGTCTTGAGTTGCGTTCGTCTCTCCGACCGAACAGACTGCCCTGCCGGAGAAATATTTGTTAGAATAATACTCTTAAGGCTTGTAGACTCGAGGGGGGATTCTCGAACGGCTTTTCGAAGGTTCAACATGTTTTTTTGTGGACAAGTATTTACGCGTTGAAAAGCGGGCGGCATCGTCGTTCTTAATCGATTTTTACTTTAACACTTAACGTTGTTGAAGTTAGTCAAAAACATTTTTATTGTTCGAAACGATTAAGGTTAGTGCTTAAATTTAATGAAGATGAAATTATGTTGCAAATGATGTATTAATCAATTATTTACAATATTTGCATTGCTCACCAAAAATTGAAATAAATATATATCCTACACAAATTGGAAACATATTTGTTTTTTCATTGCAATAAGTCTTTTACATTTATAGAGCTCTCAAATCCTCCCTCATATTCTGCACTGAATTCAAAGCGGATACTTAAATTCCGTCATTTCGGTTCAATTTTCACGATCGAAATCAAATAACGGCTCGACATATACATGTATATCTACTTCGGGGTGCGCGCAAAGAGTAGAGGGTATCAGAGGGTGGCCGGTATAACCATGAAGACGTCGACGGGGCCGTATAGAAGTCACGAGCGAGCAGGTTTTTTTGCATTTCTCTCATCTGGACGGACAATTTTTCGGGTAGATGGGGATAAAAAAAAATGTTCGTACGATCAGTTCCCTTCGTATAAGCTGACGTAACTTTTTCTCGCGCAATTCCGCGATGGTCGATTGTGCATCCACTTTCGTAGTGAAATCGATACGATCGCCGTGGAAAACTTGATGAGAGTGGCGCGCAATACTCGAAGAAAGTGCAGCTTTTAAGAATTTAGACTGGTTCGATATTCGATACGATGTATCCATTGTAAACCTACGCTTTTCCGCATTTTGAAAAGCATCTGAATTGAGTTGAATCATCGGTAGATAGGAATTTCGGCTTGGGTACAATTGAATATTTAGATATTATGCCCCCGCCGTTCTTGTTAATTGCAATCAGGTAAAATCAAATGTAATTAAATGCATTTTTACGAATCTGACGTTCTAGCTGATGAGCTCGAGGGAAAAACAGGTAGTAAGCGAGAAATAATTTGCGCGTTATATGCTAATGACGATTCGTGAAAGTGGAGTAGAGTAGCAAATTTAGCGATGCTAATCATACCTCGCCTGTTATTTAATACGCGCAACATCTCTAATTTTACCGCTGATTGCTACCCGTGGGCAGCGTTCAATACTAAGCACATCCGTTTCGGTAAATGAATAATTGATAGAAAACGTCAAGTTTTCGTTATCGTCAGCGCAAGTGCTGAAATTTTGGCGGCAGTCGGCTTGAAGGAAGAGAATAAAGAGTGCGAGCGATAGAACGTTAGCGTCGAGGAAGGAAATTCAATCGCCCTGCGCACGTCTGCTAATACGTAGAAGCCTGCACATTAGGCCTTGGGCGTTTAGGGGCGGCATCAGCAGAGGAGCAATTCCGATATTGTTCCGATAAAACGCGTGGGTGCTTGTGAGAGAGATCCGCTCTGACTTTTACGACAGTCACACACAGTCCTCGCTACTGGAACCCAAAGGAACATTATCGTAAAACTGAGAGGATGAGAGAGAAAGAGAGCGAGAGAGAGAGAGAGAGAAAAGAATATGGCTCACTCGATGCACACTGTTTTACCCGCTCGTCGTTCGCTAGCAAACTCGTCACGAAGAAACTCACGGATTAGACGATGTTTAAGACTGCGTCGGATCAAGAGCTCTGCTGTAGCCATTCGCCGATCGCGCCTCCGGCAATCTTCGTGGATTATTCTGACAGGCTATAAAATCTATCGCTACCTAGAATACACATACCTTGCGCTCCTTACTTGGTTACTTTCAACTCAGTGGCAACGTCGCGTCAGTAGTTAAAATTTAAACTCGGGGCTTTTATGATACGGTGAATTGCTTGTCGCGATTCCGCGACGTTTCACAGGACAAAATTTTCCTCGTAAAAACTTGCGAAAGAGGTGCGAAAGTGTTCCGCGAGCAGAAACGAGAGAACGAAAGGGGCAGAAGGACAAAACACATCATTCCGCGGCCCCATTCCGACTGTCCTCTCGACGATTCAAAATACAAATTCGCCCTCGGCAGTGGCTACTCTTTATTTTCCTCCCCCCATAAAAATAACTCAGAGCACCGAGAGCTCCCGCGAGTAGTGCATGTGGCCGCGCAGGGCAATAATTTTCGCGGCCGAACTTTTGTCTGCCAGCCGCGCGCGCGCTGTCGTCGTCGCTGAAACAAACAACAACAAAAAAAGAAGAATAAGCGCACGCGCTTTATTTATAACCTTCCGCGAGAAGGTCTTAACGTAGGATTGAAAAGCGCAAGCGAAAAAGAGGGGAGATAGATGGCGGTACAAAGCGAGAAGAGACATAAGCAGCCTTGAGATAGAGAGAGATAGCTGCGCTGCGGCATTAAAGGCGGCACTGGGCAAGGGATGAAAAATGGACGAGCCTGCCGGACTCTAGAACTCCTTGCGCGGTGAACGCTTGGGAAAAGAGATCTAGAAAGAGAAAAATCGATCGAGACTGTAAGAAGTTACGGATGCGAGTGGCTTTGTAAGATACATAGCGTAGCTAGTGCCAATGGGGCCAAGCTCCTCTTACGACCCCGGACAGAGTAGATTAAAGTTTAGGTGTGAAGGTGTAAGATTGAATTTTGAGATCTTGACGACACCTGCATCTTGTTCAACTCAGGGAAAATGGAACACCGGAATCGATTATTAATGACGGCTCTGCAAAAGTGACGTTGTCGATCCTTATCGTCGTGAGATCACAAATACTGCACAGACTCTCGATTTATCATATTCGGCTCATGAACGTATCTATTCTGTTTTCTAGCGGCCACATTTTCTCTCATTAATCAAATAGGAGATTTGAGAGCTGGCTACTGATTGCAAAAATCCTCTATTTTGCAAAGTTTCTTTTTCATTGTTCTGAAACGAGCAGCTCACTTCAGGATAAATAACAAGTTCACTCTGAAAACAAGGCACGTGAAAGAAATAACAAGCGTGAAGTATCGAATTGGATTAGATTACTTCGTAAAATCCATTATTGAATCTACAGCGCCGCTACGAGAATATAAAAGTAACATCGTTAGATAGCCTTCTATTGTTTTAGCTACGCTTTTCCGTTAATGGAAATTGAAACATCAGTTGTCTTCGTGCTGCGAAACGATGCTAAGATCAGCAGTATCCGTCCAACGTGAAATTATCTTAGATTTGTAAAAGCTTCAAATATTCAGTAGCATCGCAGTAAAAGGAAAGATTAGAAAGCCGTCATTCGATACAGAGAGAAAAAACCCGATAAAAGAATAAAAGCACGAAAGGAGAAACTGACGTAGAGGTAATATGAATTTGGGATACGTGAAGCCTGGAATTTCTATCACGCAGGCGAGGAGGAGAAGCATCTCTCTCCCAAGAGGCGGAGAAGAGGCTTGGAAAGCGTGCACGAGCGAGATTGCTTTATTATAGGGTTGCCCTCAAAACCGTGAAGTTCTCGAGCCGTTCTTTCTCTGTCGATTCGACTTTACTTTTTGCGGAAAAAAGAAAAGAGAACCGGACGCCCTATCGAAAAATTCACTTCGCGCGACAAGCCCCTCGACGGACAAAATATCCGAAAGCTCCCAGTTTTGCCGTTCTGATTTGGCTACTTTGTAGTGTCTGCAAATTTTACTGCTGCAAGATATGTTACCGTAGGTATGGAAACAGCACATTTAAATACCGTTATTTTTATTCAAATTCAATTTCAATAAGCTTTCCTTGGTTAAATTAGAATATTTTTCACGATGGTGAGTACTGACGATTGCACGTTACGAATGCGTACGTCGTAAAACTGCCTCTCACTTTCAAAGCACAATATTATTGCAATCGGGGGATTAATTAAACCGATTAATCGAATAAACATTTAACGCTTGGAAATACTCGGTAAACCCCACGATACGAGCGCGCACATTGCCTTCTCTTTATTAAAACGCACTTCAGCGCGCGTTAATCGAAAAGTGAATAATCTCGTTTATTAGAATGCATGGAATATATTTCATGAATCTCTGCAGCAAACGATATTAAAGAATACTATAGCAGGCAGCTATTACTCATTGCAGCACAAGCTTGTACGGGGCAGAGATTACAAGCGGCGCACATGTTTTCGTTTTAAATATTACCCATGTGTTTCAAAATGAGATATGGAATATACTTAATCCGTTGTTCCATAATCTACCGTACCTTTTTCCCCAGGTTACGTTTCTTTTAAATAATATATCGCTCTATGCGAACACCATCATCACGTATGAATTTTATGTTTTTTTATGAGAAATTGTTATACATCAAGTGAGAAGAGTGAAAATAAGTTTGTATTTGTTTCAAGTTAAAATACGAACGTGGTAAATTCATCAATGAGGAATACAATAATTTTCGTAAGAATCTCCCGTAAGTATACGAGCTACAGTCAACTGATGGAACGATCATTAGTGATCCATGTGACCCAATTTGAATGTTGAACTAGAAATATGCAATTCAAATCGAATATTCCATATATTTCACGAGGGTGGAACGCGATGCGCACGCCGCTACAGAAATTCATATTCGTAGTTGCCATTCATCCTCAGATGTCTCGAATAGTTTTGTAAATACGTGCTGAATTCGTTTTATTTCTTTTTTGACGAATAAATACGGATGTTCGGTTGAATGTATTTTACAGTTATAATATTCGGAATAGAATATTTCAAAACTTTTTTATATTGGGACACGCGGTCCGTGACCAAATTGAAATATTCATCCCCGTTGTACAATATGAAATCGAATTTTAAGAAATCAAACGTTGTTGACGTTAAAATTTATTCAAGAAATTTTATGCGTCGATGAAGAACCATTTTTAATCATAGAAATTATCTAATAAGACTTATAATTACCGGCGAACGAGTCAACTATATCAGCAATATTATTCAATTAAATCGCAAATGATCATCTAAAAACCGCACTGCACATTTTAAAAATGAAAAGCAGTTTGCTGCGGAGTGACAGAAGTATTTGCATGATAATGAAATTTTACTCTTGTGGCAAAAAAAAAAATAAATAAAGTTGCGCACGCGATTACGAGCAGTCAGCTATACTTCATCATCGTTACTGAGAAAACAAAGAGAGCTTGAGTGAAACCGCGCGTAAAATGCAATTTAGTCGAGCTTGTAGTCTGTCTTTCTCTTTCTTCTTTTTTATTTTTCTGGTTCTCTTTGTAGCTGGAGAGTGATTTCGGGAAGCGAAGCACGCGCTGCTGAAAAATCTAATCCCACGGACGAGAGCGTCGTCGTCGCCGCCACCGACGATACAAATAACGCGCAAGCGGATGAATAAAAAAAGAAGAAAACGTACTCACCAGGAAGTGTCACAGGCGTGTGTGAGTGTGAGGTAGCGAGCGCCGAGGCCATAAAACGTCCTTAGCACTCCGAGTGAATTCCCAAGAGAATGGCCACCTTCCACGCCGATCAGGCTTGCTATTTTCCCCTCACGGTGTGCTTCGATCAGACCTGCAAAGTAGACGTGTATGTGTGGCATTTAATTTCGTATTTCTCTTTCTCTATCGATCTTTTACCTGTATCATACGAGCTAACGAGTGAAATTTATTTATTTTGTTGATTTTCAAAATTTGATTTTCGGAAATTGGTGCGGTTACTTCGCGAGTTTTCAGAAGCAACATAAGATTAAGTCAATTGTATATCTCGATAATAAATTCAACCAAGAAGTTAACTGAAGCTTACCCTCGCTTGTTTGACGGCTGACTATAGATTTACTTGTACTACTTCAAAAGCAACTTTATTACGTTATTGCAAATAGAGTCAAAGTTTCGTGGAGCGAGACTGCCATTGCAATACGTCGTAACTTCAATACTTCTAGTGATATACTGCAGCGAACAATTTTACAACGTTTATAAGTCAATATTTGTTTATCGAATTATCAAGTTTATCGAGTTGTTTCGGAGCAAGATGAAAGATAAGTTTGGTTGCTTTTTATGAAAAATTTTCTAAAAATTTAAGGTTTGTTTATAGCACTTATCTTAGTTTTTATGTAATCTATTTAATATTCAAAAATTTATATATATTTTTATAAAAATTAAAATATCATTTGTTCATTATTTGATGCAACATCAAAAAACCTTGTAATATAATTTAGTAACGTCTGGTGGTGAATTTGTATAAATAATGGAAGAGAATAATTGATGTAAAAGCTATACTTTAATCGGCTTTACTCTTCCCCTTACATGCTACTTCTACGAGTTTCTCTTCCTTCTGATTCATGCACGTGACACTATAATGCTTTTGATGGCTAATCACGATGCACCCTGTCGTTTATTTCATTCGAACTTACTATTTTCACTCTCCGAATACCCTGCAAATATTCATCATTTTTTGCAATCACGTTCGCAATCACTGATGTATCGACAGCAAACATGAAACACAACTGCACGCACGCGCATACTTCACTTGCTAAAGCCAGGAAAAAAGAATTGAAATTTGTCAGCTGTTGGAAAATCATACGTCAAGCGCGAAATGGCAAAATGCAAACTCGTTTCCCAGTGGTATGTTTACGCGAGCAAACAGTTAGGTGGTAAAAAAAAGAAGAAAAGAAACGAAAGCTCGAATTTGAATGTGAATAATCGCATCACTATAATAGTGGCATATCGCGTGCTTCCGGCGTAATTATAACGTGGAAGGCGGGTTCTCGTTAGTCATTAATTACTCGCTAATGGATGAACCAGCTAAACACCTATGGCAATTTCAGGGATCGACACGGGATGCCACCGCCGCACAACGGTTAAACATTATACCGACGCACCTGCTCCCTCTCCCCCTCGCGAAAGAGGATATTTACGATCTACCAAAATGACAAAAGGAGAGTGAGAGGGAAAAATAAACGAGCGACCGATCGAAATTCATTTTGCTCGGATTTTCGTTGTTGCGCGTGTTTTTTTTTGCCTGATGTATTTACGACTTTGCTTTTTCGATAGATGCCAAAGGTTAACGTTCCCAACAATCATGAAATTGTTTGTTTGCTTTATTTATGCCTCACAGTCGATTGAGTATTAAATTACATACGAATCCGCGTCCGTGAAGTTTGAAAGTTCACATAACACATATTAAATTCACGTTAGTATAACGCACAGAGCTCGAGTTTAGTCTAAAATGTTCGCGAGAAGTAAATCGACGCAGTTAATTGAACTTGATCGCAATGTTCGATTTCCACTGGAATGCTAAGTCGCACATTCAACAGCGCATAAAACATCTACGTGGTTGAGTTGCGCGTGCATACGCCGTGTATCGGCGTCAGTACATCATCAAAGTTACACGAGACGCAAATAAGCATAGTCGAGATTTTGACGTTGTGTACATTCTCTCTCTAGTTCCGTGAATTTCGTTGCACACGTGCTTGCGATACCCAAATAGATGAGTGTATATGTGCAGCCAAAGAAACGCACGTAACGAGGAAATTAACTCTTGTTTATCGATCTATAATTCACTTAGTTTCAGAGAGTATGATTATGTTGTTTTCTCGTGATCGCCATTGCACATTCAAGTCTTGTAATTGCGCATTCGTTTTTTTCCTGAAGATTGTGATCGTTAGATTTATTAGTTTATTCGTTCGTTTTGTTCCTGTACTCTCAGACTATGATTCAATAAAGTTATCTTTGCTTAAATTATAGGATTTGATAATTTAATTTGGAAAGCACAAATTGTGTTGAACAATAATTTGGTGGCCTTGTTTTTCGTTCTCGATCATCATGAGATGAGCTTACGAAATTCTCGTAAATTCGTAAGCAAATGGCTATTCTAAAATTCCAGGCGTGATTCTTGAATAGCCTCGGTTGAATCCCTGAAACTCATATATAGAGAAGCGGCAACGTAGAAGGAGGGGAGGCGATAGGAAGGCGCGCTACAATACAGCCGAAATTCGCGCGGTGCCGCCACCCTTCCTGCCCCGGAAATCAGTCAGCCGCGCGCTGAAATCGATTTGAACTTTGAAGCGGAACGAGCTGCCGTCGACTTTAGGCAATAAAAACGTTTTCGCGTGCTCGAGCGCGGCGTTGCAGCTGTTTGCTTTCATGCGAACCGCGCGCGCGCGCGCTCGCTTTCATTGCCTTTTCTATCCTTCTTTGTTTTTCACATTTTCTTACGGGCTTTCTTTAGCAATGCACATTCGCTTTGGCCTCTTCAAATGTTTTTTTTTCTGCTCGACGACGTTGGCCATTTTCGACGCAATGACTTTCTTATCTAACGGTTTGTGTGCGTTGCGACAACGCGCCTTTTCCTTGGCTTCAACTTTTGACGTAATTGCAACAAGTTTCGCCATAAAATTTTATTGCTCTCAGGGTTGTGCCAACTGGCATTGCTTTCGAATATTTTTCGGAATATAAATTTAAACGTTAGTAAAATTAACGTGTAACGGAGTGGAATTTTTTCGAATGAATTCAATAAGAATGTATGCTAACAAATACTTTTTTGAACATTTTCTTATTGCTCGGGAACATTTGCATCAGGTTTGATATTGGTATTATGGATTGAGATCCAACACAAATTTATTTTAAAAGCTGACTGATCAGCTATAAGACATCGGATAGACATCTATCAGGTCGAGTAAATAAATTGAACTGTTTAATAAAAGTTTGATCTTTATTATCGAGTTTACGAACAGCGAATCATTACTTTCTAATAATTTGAGTTGATGTATTTGTAAGTAAAAAAAGAAGAATAATCTTGAGATTGTACTCTTTTTTTTGTCAATATTTCTGAAATATACTAAGTTTATAGCGATTTAAATAGACATTTTTGTTCAGAATTTAAATAATTCTTCTTGTCTGTAATTTAATTTCAATGTATATTTATAAATGATCATGATGTCACTATTTATCCAGAAATCATTAATAAATATTTTACTCGTGAAGAAGGACATTGCAAGATTTCATGTGTTTTCACTCGACAAGTCATAAGAAAGTTATATGTGCGTAATCGATACAAGAAGTTTTATCTTCATTTGTAGATGACTGACACTTAAAAGTTTGCCTTGGTAAACAAGAGTGAGAGAAAATAAAAATTTACAAGGAAAGGAATAATTATTATATATCGAAGCGAAAGAGACGCATTCACTGGTAACTCGGGCATAAATCGATGAATCCGACGGTGTACGAGCCATTGTACGTTACTCGATCACTTTCAAATCTGTCGGTTCATCAAGAAATAAGGAACATTAACGAGTCAAGAGGATGAAGATTCGAGGAAACTCCAGAGCTAAAAGCAGAAAGCCGAAATGAAAAAGAATACCGCGCAGAAGTCGTTGGACGAGTGAATTTAGTTTTCCAAGGAGAGAAATCTGTGTAAAAGGGAGCGCACGAACAACTGTTCTCTCGGTCAGACTCTCATTATTATAGTTTATAGGTGAAAGTTGAGAAAAATAAGTAGTCAAGACTGTATGAATGCGTGACGTAGAGGGCGAATTGATCTGCCTATATGATTTCCCGAATGTTCTAACGTTAGCGGTTCTCGAAGATTCAAATTTCTTGGTTTGACTTTCATTTGCACTACTCTTTTTTTACATACATAAATATACGTTAAAAAATCGAAATACCATGATCATTATTGAAACATAGATTATTCTCAAAATATCAATCTTTTGAAACAGCGCAGAATTTTGCGCTTACGTGATATGAGTTTTTTCAAATAGAAGTAAAAAAACAGTGATAAAGTTGGATACTTGATGCTAAATCAAGTTATCAATTTTTGAATTCCATTGCAGATAATGTAGGTATTCTATTACGATCAAAGAAACCGTTTTGAAAACGTAATTCCGTTTCATGGATGTTCTGCTATAGTTGTTAGCTGCACAACGAATGAAAGCTTATAGTGAAAATCTCGTCGGTCAATATTTCACTCTGCCAAAAACTGCGAGTCGGTCGCTTTCTGATTGAAGATTGTTTTCTCACAACGTAAATCGAATGGGCCAAAAATATGAAAAAACTAGTCCAGTTTCTCTCCAATTTACCCTCCGACTCATATCTCTTCTATATCATTTAAATGTCGTCCGTCCAGAAAAGATTTGCTGCTGCTTTGTTCCTACAATTTTTCTTGCTCTTCTGTTCTTTCGCGCGCAGGCTTCTTCCGCGTATACTGTATATTACTTGGCAAGTTGCTCGCTCGAGAGCTTTTTTCGCGCATGGAATGAAATAAAACTTTTCGTCGGATTAAGTATGATTGACGCACGTTGCAATTCTATATGCTATAACGGATACTTTTACAAGCGAATTTCACTATTTAACTAGATGAAAATCCGGTCACATTTTTATTCAATTATATGCGATCTTCACGAGGTGGTATTTATAAAGTTGCGCGCCTGATGCAACGATAAAATTGTCAATAACGAGGCAACGTATTTATGTGCGATTATGACATAGATTATTGATATGTCGACTTTAATCTGACTTTTAAAATGTGCTCACGTTTAAAATTTATTTATACATCGGTAGCTTGAATAGCTGCGCCGTAAACTGCTGAATTAAGCATAAATCATCGAACAGACCGTTACCCTTATGGACTTTTATGGAAAAAATAAAGGAAAGGTGCGGCCTGAAAGGTATATAAAGATTCTTTAAGAGGTAAAACGACAGAAGATAAAACACGAAAAAAAAGAATGGCAAATTAATCAATCGAAATAGCACGATGCGAACGAAATTAATGCTCGCGCGAGAGACTATGCACGCATACATGCATTAATAGACGAAACTGCGGCTCACGCATGAAGAGCGAGTGGCCGTTAAGAAATTTAAACGGAAGATGAATGAAGGACGCTGATGGAGGGAGAAATATCGGAGAACGTTATATATATGCAAAAGAGAGGAGAGAGAGAGAGAGAGGATGGCACAGGTATTGTTCATCCGCTGCCGCTCTCGAGCGCAGCTGCACACCCATAAATTCCGAAGAGATGCGCAAAATTAAGCCTCTCTTGCTCGCCTTTTCTGCGACTTGCACGCGTCTCCGTGATTAATTTCTGCGTGAGAATCAACCGAGGAAATATGCGCGATTGCTTATTTTCTTGTCCCTTTGGCGAGCGCGGCCTCGCACAGATGAGGCATTTCATTGTCGAGATGTTGGTGAGCCTGTTCTTCTGCGTCGATTGCGTATACGCATTCACTTAAATGCTACTTTTTTCCGCGCGCACAGTCAAAAATACACGTTCGTTACAGTCAAAAATATTTGCAATATAACGGAAGTAGATTGCAGCATATTTAATCAGTTGAATCTTAATGCCCCGGAGTTCTAAAAAGAGCATGAAAGGAAGTAAGATGATAGCAACTTTATGCTTTTAATGTCATTAGTCTAGCCTGGATGAACTTCGACGGCCTTCAGTATCAAGTACTCACTGCAACGAGTTCGAAACTTTAACCTTTTCCTCGTTTATGAAATTAAAAATATCATCTTTCTCAAAAGTCTAATTAGATCAAATCTATATAGACAGATGAAATTCCATCGACTTTCACATCGTTCTCTTGTGCACGTACGCTAAAACGTATACTTTTATTCAATTGCCAACTATTCGCACGAATATCTTGCAAGCATTTGCGAAAGCTGAAATCTTACCTTTAACCGAGGTGACCAGAATCAAGTGCTGGGCGTTCATCTCTGATAACCTGCGTATCACGTCGATCTGTTCGAGGGAGAGTTGCACTGCATTCAGTTGGGCCGCGCCACATGGCACGTACGCCGACCAGAACTGTAACAGTCAGAAGTACATGTCTCGGTTAAGTAATGTCGGTTTATACGTGGAGAATGAATTCAGTGGAAATCTTGTTGTAGTTTTCAAACGAGTTGAAATTTCTAAAGAAAAGCTTTCTTTTTCTTCGCAAAGAGAATTTCGTTAACCAGAATCATAAGATTTTTCACTGTGAAACTGTGATCAGTCCAATTCTGTAACTAGTTCGTTTCTTTCATATCGTTAATGCAACAAATTTATCCAAAGTGCATTTCTCAATCAAGACAATGATCGAGCGTTACAAGCAAATCGCTCGTGCTCAGGGGAACGACAAACTTTAGCGTAAACTCTCTCTCTCCCAAAAGCGGTAAACCACGTAACACACATATGGTAAGTCAAATGAATAGGCGAAACTTTTGAAAAGCCCTTGGAATAGTTTTCACGTGCTCCTTCATCTAGCAGCACTCATAAATGGCGTGTATCTAGCTTGCTAGGCGAATAGCAGATACTTTGTTAAATTTAACGCGTTGACTCAGGCGCGAAAGCCGCGCCGTTTTAGCAGCTTCAACCCAAGAGCCCATACACATAGCCTTAGAAGTACCCTATTTTTCAAGCTGGAGAAACTTCAGTTTTGTTTCAGCGGCAGTGTGTAGGATCTTAGCTCGCGTGTTTCTGGCATCTACAAATGCTTTTCTTTCGTATACTTGCGACAATTACAATAATCCTGTGCGAGTCGATTGAAATTGATCGATGAAATAGAAATAAAAGCACTTATGCGTATTATGATTCCTCGTGGCATATGATTCAGAATGCGCATAGTGATATACGGCTTTGTCGATTTGTCGAAAACACACTTTGGTAGTATATGTTCGATATTCTGCGTTTGCTTTATGCATACGCAAGAACGTTGGCATAATGATTCAAGAATGTTTATTCGAATGGAACTTGATTAATTAATTTATTCCATTGGTTTGTCAATTTTCTCTCCCTCTGTCTCTTTTTCTCACAAAGAGGATCAGTCATCAGTCGATTGTTACTTCCCGACTCTCTCATACGATCTCATTTCATGGTTCATTTGTTTGATTCGCTTATTTATATTTACTAGTGTTATTTAGCGCGCTTCACGCGCTTTTTTTTTTAATGTTTTACTATTATTTATTACATTATTTGAACCTTTTACACGTCAACTTCAAGATTTCAATGGACATGAATAAGTCATGCTGTTTAAAATAGACTACATACGTCAATATTTATTGATGAATAAAAATAGAACATGCACCCTTTTTTTCTCAAAAATCGATAAACTTTTACTCATTTCAAGATATATCGGAAAAATTATTCAAAAGATTAATTCGACCTAAGATCAATAATGCTATTATACTATTATACTATTATACAACACTAAACTTATATATTCAATAGTAGTGATTATGGCTCCAATCTTATATTAGTATGAGTAATACATTTAACATCGTGTACTTTTTGCTGCCACTATGAAAACACCCGTGGATATTCTTCTAATTTAACGGGTTTAATATTTTGATAATTAATTTCCTTTGTTCGCATACATTTTAATTTAAAATATACAAAAGATAAATATGTAGTCTCAATTTTATTTTTTTCATTCTCTTTTTCTTTCTACCAAATTTTAACACAACGATATTGATTGTAGTATCGGAGATGGTTTTAAAATTAACAATTTGTACAAATAATTTCAAAACATAACGTATTATGTTCTTAAACCAATTTACTAACATATTTCCATTCTTGCAGTTTATTATCCATGTTAATTATTCATAAATTGAATTTATCGCTAAAATAGAAATCTTACACTCTTTGATATATAATAATAATAATATTTCAAAGTATAGGAAAATTCAAAATTTTGCGTTCTATTTTTGCATCAACAAATCACAACGCTGGATGTCAGCGAAAAAATAAAAATAAATATAAGGCAAGGATAAGGATAGGATAGAACCATCAGCTGCGCCTAACAATTTAATTTTGTTTCTTTTTTAACGTATTGGTTCATGGTATCAAGCTTTCCATGGGATTTCTCCATATTAACAGATATATTATTTTAATTTAACTGTTTTTTTCATTGTTCATCTGAAACCATTTGGAGAGTTTGTTTACATTTATAAATTACATTTCAAAATTTATTTAAAATAAATTAACGGTGCCGACTGCACCGAAATAAATTCGCAGAATTTCATATAAAATACCAATTTACCATTCTTCTCAATATTGATCATATTTATCCGAAGCTAACTGTTACAATAAAGATATATTCAATTAATTTATATGTCCAATAAATAAATGCAATTGAAGTGCATTAAGATTACTTTATCGTATTTTTTAAGGTTAGGCCATTGAGAGAATGTGGAAGTCATTTACAGTTTAATGCCTACAAATTATTATACTTATTTGTATTGATAAATGTAAAGTACTTCGATTTATTATTATGACCGATTTACTCATAATTGTGACACACGTGACGAAATTCAGTCAATCAGGTCATAAATAAAATTACTTCACTTAGCATCACTTTTTCATACAGGAAAATAAAAATATATAGGTTTAGATAAACTTTACGCGTTTTTACCTTCTTTTTTATTTCTTATTGTTATATCAATATTAACATATTTAACAAATTACTTTTTTCAAAGGTAGATTTTTCAATTTTTTTTAAAAACCCATATCACAGCGGAAAATGTGTATTAGTGATGAAACACGTTTTCAAATTTATGATTTATTATACCAAAAACTGCAATAAATATAATCTTATACTATTTTTTTCTCAACGGGTTAATTTATTATTAAACTTTTATTCTACTTTTTGAATAAAGATTGCAACATTACAACTTTTATTTTACACATTCAAAAACCAAATTTTCGATTATTAATAGAAAATATTTAGAGCAATTTCAACCTATATTATTTGTATGAAACTATTTCTTCGTTGTTAGTTTCATATTATGAGTGTATAAACAATATTACAGTCTACTTTTTTACTTTCTTAACTTCAAAATTATCCGTATGATAAATTATGATGATTTGAATTTTTATTAGTAAAATCTCAACTCAAAACCACACCTATATGCTTATTTGCCGCCACATAAGTATATCATGCAATTATATCTCAGCCATCAGATCATTATATGCTTCAACGTGGCATCCATTACTTTTTTATAAGGGATAAAACTGATAAACAATGAACTACATTATGATTATAAATGATGAATGAAAGATTATATTTTTGATATTTTATTTTTTTGCTAAAAACAAATTAAATTAAATCTGAAATCAAAAATCAACTAAAATCAATTTGAATTCTCGCGGTTTTTTTCATTTGAGCCAATCAGGTCACGAATAAAATGCTTCAATATGGCTACCATCACTTTTTTATAAGACCCAGGTCCCATAGCTACGTATGAATGCGGACGGATACGGACGCGTATCGCAACTCTAGTAACATCACTAAAAATATCTAGTTCGATTATTTAGTACTAACACTACCGGTAGTGAGCAAAAGTAACTGTTGTTTAAAACCGTAGCGTCGAACGTACAACATTTAATGTTCAAATGTCAGGTCTACAATTTACTTTTCAAATTCTCATGAATATTGCTTATTGATGAGTATGCTAATGTAAAAAAAGCTTTTGGGATGATTAATACATATCATTTATATATATTTTCTTCTTCTTCTCATATATTCAAGTACTTCCATAAAATTAAGGCCTAATTCCACTAATTGTAGTTGAAAGTCTATCAATTCTCTATCATTTGCCATTTTATAGACTGCAATAATGTAAAGGTTAGATAAGCGTTCATTAAATGTGGTACGTTCGGCGCTACAGTTTTAAACAACAGTTACTTTTGCTCACTACCGGTAGTGTTGGTACTAAATAATCGAACTAGATATTTTTAGTGATGTTACTAGAGTTGCGATTCACGTCCGTATCCGTCCGCATTCATACGTACCTATGGGACCGGGGCCTAAGGGGATACTGTACGCGCACTGAAATATTTTAATTGGACGCGCATCATGGCTCCGATTGGAAATATCACGCAGATTGATATTTTGATGTATCGCATGTGTTTTACACGTTATAAAAATATTTGTTTAAAAAACTCGGAGTTGGCTGTAAATTAATTCTCGATGTCTTTTTTCAGTTATTAATTAGATCAAAGTGTTTCATTATTATAGTAGTTTTTCTTAAATCTGTGACTTGCATTTTATATTCTCGTGTTACGTTTTAATTCAGAGGATTCTTTTTCCACGCGCATCGGTGCATAAACAAACATCAAGCATATTTCGTCAAGATATATCGTTGATATGAAAAAAATTATGTTTTCAAAGTTCGTTTGTTTGATTGCATCGCGCTTTTACAAATACTAATGGTGTTTGGCGCTCCTTTTTTTCTTTACATTCATTTAAATAGAACATTTGAAAATTCAATATGCATTTGATATTCTTTTGATTTGATATGAAATATGGTCGATGATATTATTTATTGATAAATAAGTATGCAGTTATATACTCATGATTTCAAAATGTTATCAATGAAGTTTTAAGTTTTTATCATCCTAAGTTCTGTGTTGAAAAATCATCATTCAAAAGTTTGAAAAACACGATAACAAATGTATTGTAAGTTGTAAAAACATTATAGTTTTCTATAATCATATCCTTCACAATGTAAATAGCATACTTCGTTATAGAACGTTCACAGTCCTAATTAGCGCTATTTTGAAAAAAATTTCTAATAATTTACGTAACTTCATAAAGCTGAAACTGTACAATATTTAATTGTGATAATTTGCCAATTTATATCTTTTATGGTTAACTTTGTTTATTTTATGTTGAACTTCTGCATAGAGCAAAATTCAATTAATTTCTTTACTAAGGTATCAGTCGGTCATTATTTTGAGGTTCGTATGATTAAAGCAATCAATTCATATGAAATTCATGATCACTATATTAATAGACTTTTCAAACTTTTATTTATCTATGGTATTCTTTCATGAACGAATACAACCTATACCTAAATATAATAGTCCACAACAGCTGATCACGTGACTATCTTTCAATCAAGCAGCTCACGAATAAACTGTCTTCACTTTGCTAAGTTCTCTTTTTTATAGAAAGATCCCAAGGTTTATATTTGAATTTCCTATTATCCAAATGCGAGGGCGCGCGTTCCTACGTCATTCGCAAAACAATAAAACCGCAGTAGCAGTTGTCGTTGTTCCATCATTCCGAAAACCATTCCCAGCGTTTATGCACTCGCTTCCCCCATTGATGTCAGTGGTTTGGACAAACTAATAGATCGCAACGTCTTTGGCTATGAATACATAATCGAGAATGCCTGGATTAGCATAATATCCGCGCAACGCACACATGCGCGCGCGTCAATCCTGTGGGGTCTGTGCGTATGTGTCTAGCGGCAGCTGAAATTCAATATTTACGTTGGCTTCGAAACTTGAAGTAATTAGACCACCACGGTAATTGGCAGCAGCTCAAAACCACACTGTACGCCATTCGCGTACTCTCTCACACACGCGTGCACACACGCACGCGCGCGCGCACTTAAGATAGAACGCGTGCACCACGTGCTAATACATATCTCGTTCGTGAGAAGATGCCTCTGCTGCTAATAGCCTTCTTTCTTGAAGAGATGTCATTTTCAAAAAATATTTTTGTAGTTTTTAAGAATCTTATTATAAAGAATATATCTAAATATAGATTTTTAAACTTTTAATTTATTTATAATTTTTTGAAAAACTATAAATAGATTAGAAGCTTTTAATTCTGTATGCTGTCTCGATTGACCTAAGCGATGATACTTTTATTGTATTAATTTATGTTATTTTTATTTTCATTGCAGTAGAGAAATTGATTCGTTATTAAAGTAACTGATGGGTTTAATGAATTATTGAAGTTTAAAATCGAATATATTTGAGGTATGAAGTGTGTTGTATTAACAATAAAACATTCCGTGTTTTTCAGACAAGATAATTTTAGCAAAATATAATAAAACTAGCCATCATATAGACGCATGAAAAAATGCGCGCTAACCTATATTAGGTTGTCTAAATCTCAAGAAAGATCATTTATGGCAATGTATTTTTTATCGGTCATATAACTTAAATTCGTAGATATATAGTAGGTGTACTGTACGTGTCAAAGTAAATTTATACTAGTACGTCGTAAAACCTTATATTTATCTAAGTTGAGTCAAACTTCAGAAATAAGTAAATTCAATTTGACTGCGATGGAGACCGTTATAGATATGGTAAAATAACAAGCAGGCGTTAACTTTTAATTTAACGCTGAACATTTCGAAGACGTTGAAATAAATGGTGGCAATTTCAATATTTACTAGGATTTTACGAGTAAAAGTTTTGAATGCGGGATTATCGAAAAATTTAATCGATTAATAAAGTACTTCCTTATTAATGCTGGTAATTAAAGTTCGAGGGATGAGGAGTTGGATATCCCCGAGAGATGGCTTATTCGGGTCTCGAGAGCGTGAAATTGATGATCTGCTGTCGCGATGAATCTTTGTTGCTAGACTCCGAGTGAAATGTAAAATAAAAATTGTATATATACTTAGTTTTAAAACCTATCGAACACACTGATTGTGAAATAAAAAATTGATTTGAAGTTATATAAACAACGTACATAAGAAAATAATATTAGGCTTATATATTAGTTATCGTGACACAAAAGTAGATTGACTCATAAAAAATTGTTTTGCTTTGTCATGCTTGGACATCAAACATTTACTTTATAAATAGAAATATCTATTTTGCTCACATCAATTCTGATTGGCAACTCCTTTTAATAATTTTAATTCTATGAATGAAATTCAGCTCGAATCTCAAATTTCACTTTCTTTTCTCGAAAAGAAATATAAATTGATATACTTATCATGTAAAATGTAACTTCTTACATAAGCGTAATCTTATCTCTTTTCAGTTCCCAACTATATTGTCAATAAGTGACAATAACGCTCACACAGCAAAAAGTCTCTTGAAATACGTATGAGAGCAGTCGTTCCCACTCGAGTCACTGTACAATTACGTACGTAGTAACCGGGACGCTCAAGGACGTATATAAGTGCCAAGCCCACCGATAGTAGATACTTAGTTTTTAACTTTGTTTGCGCGCGTCGATACTATTCTTCTCGTCGTGTTGTGCTATTTGTTCTATAGAGTTGTTTAATTATCTAACTTTCACTTCAAGTAAGTTATGTAGGTTATATGAATTCATATGTTGTGAAGTGATTTCTTGTGATTCATTTATTGAATGAATATATAGTTAAAGTATAATTAAAATTTTATATTTTTTCAATTGAATTGATTTAATTTAATCGATAGATTACAAAAAAATTGAATACTTTTCTCTTTATGTTTTTTTCATAAATGTTTTCTGAAGGGGAAAAAAATGCAACGAGTGCCTACAAATCTTCGCAACAAATAAACTCATTCAAAAGTGGATTTATAGGTGTATAACGAAAAATACATATTACGTAATTCTGAAAGTTCAATTTCATTTCAGAACCTGAAAATGCCTATTGACCTATATCATTACCCTGGCAGTGCTCCGTGTCACGCCGTACGTTTAGTTGCTGCAGCTGTAGGCGTCGAACTCAATCTCAAACTACTAAATCCTACGGCAGGCGAACATCTTACGCCTGAGTTTTTGAAGGTACATTATACATGAATTATATGCAGAAACATGCTTAATTGAATTGTTTACAATTCAACATTTTGACGTTTACGAACGTTTTGCAGATTAATCCACAACATACCATACCAACAATCGATGACAATGGATTTTATTTATGGGAAAGGTAAAATAATTAGCTGTTTGTCATGTAGTTTCAAATTTCTAATTAATAAATGAATATTCTTAGTCGGGCTATTTGCACATATCTTATCGAGAAGTACGGCAAGAACGATTCGCTCTATCCCAAAGATTCAAAGCAGCGTGCTATCGTAAACCAACGTCTCTATTTCGATGCAGGAACCTTCTATCAATCTTTTGCTCAATACCTTGTGAGTAAATTGGAAGGTTTTCCTTTCGTTCTTTTTAGCAATGTCTTTATAACCCTATGTGTACTACTTTGCGCATTCAAAATATCAATTTCAGTACCCACAAGTGCTTGGAGGAGAAGCAGAGAATCCTGCTAAGCTCGAAAAGTGTAAAGAAGCTATGGATTATTTGGATAAATTTCTAGAGGGACAAAACTACGTAGCTGGCGATCACCTAACTGTAGCTGATCTTAGCATCGTTGTAAATGCGTTATGCTATACTGTAAGGATTTTTATTATATTACCAAAAAGTAATGTTGAATTGAAGAATTTGACGATTGATAATCCTGTTTTAGATTATTGATATCGATATGAACAAGTATAAAAACATTCAAAGGTGGATGGAAAGAATAGCAGCAGAAGCTCCCAAATACCATGATATTGTCGACGAAGGTTTTAAGGCTTACAAGACATGGATCCAGACCGCACTTAAAAAATAATCGATTAAAATCTCATTATGTTAATACTTCAAAAAATTAATATTTAATCTGTTTACTAAAATTATTTTATTGAAATAATTTCTGTGATAACATTGATCCAAAGTAAAAAGAAGTCAGATGAAACTATAACGTAACCAAATTGTACCGTAACAGTAAATATAAGAAACGTGCGAGGGCTCACCCTCATTTACCTGATGCCGGGGAAAATACGCTAGAGCATCTGGGTTTTCTCTTTTTTTTTGCGGGGCGACAAACGTGCAGTCTAGACAAAGTAAGGCCCGTTTATGACCGCCCGAAAAGATTCTGTCTTAGAAACATGTGTTCCGTCTAGAGTTTGAGAAAACGTTTTGTGAGATAAGTGATCGCGAAAGACGCGGGCGGACTGACCGTCAGAGCTTACGAAGGGAAAAAGGAAAAGTATACTAACACTGTGTTTGGCTCGCTTACGCCCTCGATCCGACCCATTGACGCGGACGTGCGTCGGGTGCGCATCATTGCCGTGAAGCCACCCCTTATGGCAGCTCTAAGGAATTAGTGCTCGGAGGCTGCAGACCCCACGGGAAGTTTGCTTCCTTGATATGCATGTCACCTCGTACGGGCAAGAAAGACTTCGTGTCGACCTTGGGACCGAAGATTGGCGGGCGGGGGATGGGCAAAAGCAAATAATCAAGAAAAGGGCGTGACGGCAATGTGCGCGCCCCTGCAAGGCCCACGAGTGGGGTAAGACTTACAAGGCGACTCTAGTCAGTCTAGCACCAGCTTCCCGCTAAGCTTGAATTATCGAGCTGATCCTCCCTTGCCATCGACGAAAAAGTTTGTCGGGAGAAACGTTATTGCTATCGTCGTTGTACGCTGGCTTTTTCCCGCTCGCTACCGGATTTTTTTTATGCCAGCCTATAATAAACTCGGTTAAATAAAGGATAAATATAATAAACTTAAAAAATATTTGTCCTCGTTATTTCTGTCTCTCCTCACCCCTTACAGAATTGGTTATTTTGTAATAATAAAGAAATTTCAAGCTTGATTTTTACTTGTAGTCGTAGTGATTTTACTGAACAGCACAACTTTTGTGTAAAGACAGATCATTATTATTTAATATTTCATTTTGCCTTACGCATGCGAAAAACGTATGTTAAATGATTTTAACGGTTCTATGTATAAATATACATCATATAATGAAAAATTCGTCATTCCTCGTTTTATTGTTAAAAGACCTGATAAAAAACATTAAAATATATTTTTATTCACTTATTATATTAGAGCAATTTTTTTGTTATCCATTGTCAATTCGATTGGTAATAAATTAGGATGAAGTTTGAGAAAACTTATTTATTATTTCAGATACAATTTAAAATACATAATGAATACAATTCATTTATCTAGTTTTAAACAAATAATGGAGTTGAGTAAAAGTGATTAATATAATTAAGGAAGAATGAAGAAAGTTCCTGGAAAAAAAGTATTAACACCTTTGATTGATTTTTGTTTTAAATTTGTTGTTTAAATAAACCTATAGCTTGAAGTTTTGTTGTAATCTTATGTTTATGCTGTCACTAAACCATAGGGAAAACATTGTAAATGCTGTGGAAACTCTTTCGTTTGAAATTATCTGCAAAATGTTATAGTTTACATTAGTAGGGTGCGACTACTTGTATCATACCTATATAGAGAAGGTTTAATTAATCTTTCTGCTCAGTTTACTGGCTGTGACTATCACTGAATAATTTCATATCATTCAAGGAATTGCTTACATCTTCTTGATTGTTTTAAAACTCGTTTTAAAAATCGTTTAAAATTCAGTTTAAAAACGTCGATTAACCTATACTATTATTCTAGTTGTGTTGCTTTGCTGTAAAACTAGTTGCGGTCACTGCAGGCTTAATTTAAAAATGCCTAGTTCTCTGGAAAATGAATAAACAAACTGAAAACTGTAAATGCGACTATCCAATAAGTTAAAAAATTTACTTTTACTTATATTCCGTTTTACAAAATTTAATTTTTTTACATATATTAGTTTGACATTTATGAATTATAGTTGCATTAATAAAATTGTATTCACATAGCTGTCAAAAATACCAGTTGATCTGTACCACATTCCTGGAAGTCCACCATGCCATTCTGTACAACGCAGCTGCAGTAAGTATTGAGATAAATCTCAAATTTGTCAATCTTTTAGAAAATGAGCATATCAAGCCCAAGTTTATAAAGGTAAAAATAGTATTGATTCTTGTAAATACAGCAGCGATAGTAAGAGCTTTCATATAATTATTCTTTTATAGTTATTATTTATGCTTATATTTTTCTCGCATTATCTTTATAATAAATTTATTTTATTAATTTTAATTATGTATATTTAATCTTAATAATTCGAAACAATTTGAGTCAGTATGTAACTCTTTCATTTCACATTAAACATTACTTTTCGTAAATGAATCTACAACACACCGTACCTATATTAGATGGCAATGGTTTCTATTTATGGGAAAAGTAAAGATTATCCGATCATAATATCAACACAATTAATAAAATCAAATTATTTGTATTTCTAGTCCAGGCATTAGCATATATTTAGTTGAAAAATATGCTAGAAATGATTCATTGTACCCAAAAGATCCGAAACAGCGCGCAATATTAAATCAACGTTAATAGATCGACCTAGGGACATTGTACAGTTCTTTTGATCAGTATTTTGTTAATAAATTTTAAATTGCTGTTATAAAAAACAGTATACTATTTTTATAATAAGTATACTATTTGTAGTATCCACTAGTACACTTTAGCACTGCACCCGACCTCGCTAAGCTTGAAAAATGTCACGAAACACTTGGTTACCTAGATAAATTTCTCGAAAGTCAAAAATACGTCGTTGGTATTTTTATATGATAGTGACTGACCTAACCATTGCGTCAACTGTTGTATATTTCACAGTTAGTATCATAAATGTAAGTGTTGATAAATAATGTTGAATTTGAATTTTGATTTTTTTATTTATCATTTACTCTTTCAGCTTAATGATTTTGATATAAGCAGATACAAGAACACTTGCAGATGATTTGAGAGAATTCATAAGGAGACACTGAAATACAACTATATTATGGATAAGGGATCAAAACTTTTCAAGGTGTACATTGAAAAATCACTCAAGAAGTAATTTGTTGATCAAGTAATAGGTTAAGTTAATCTAAAGTATTGTTATTATTATACAATATCCGTATAGTCACTGAAAATTTGGCAGTTGTCGTGCCAAAAATTTTTAGAGAATGAAATATTATCTAATAAGATCGAGTAATATAAAAAAATGCTCTTTTCATTAGAAAACTATATTACTAGATTTTTTATGTATAAAGACAACATAAAGAGAACGTGAATTTATTTAAAAAAGAATTACAACTAAAATACATCGTTTATTGCAGCGGCTATTTCCGGAAAGTATAAATGAGTGTGTATGTTTTGGTATCAAACCTATGACTCTTCTTTCACACATTTTTTCATGCTTTTTCATTACTGAATAAGTTTTGCTTATTATGACCAATTTTTTGTGATTTTATTTACGGATTCAAGTGTGTTGTGATGCAGTGGATCACAAGTGTAAATCTGCAAAATAAACAAAACAAAGCAGCACCTGAGAACCATTCATTGCTACATCCTTCTGGAATTTTGGATCTTTTTACACTTACTTTATGGATGAATTGTAGTTATTTCAAATATATTTTTACAATTACAATTCGAAGATGTCCTAACACACGTAACAAATCAATTAAATAAAGGAATTGATAACAAAAAGGTGATTGCAGTATTCCTAGATTAGCAAAGGCATTTGATCCGGTTGATCGCGAAATATTGCTCAAACAGTTGAATAGATATGGAATAGGAGGACTTACAGATGATCTATTCAGGCGTTATCTAATTCAAAGAAGGCAATATTTTAATTTTCTTAAACATCAAAGTAATATAACTAGTTAATCTGTTACTAGTTCTACAAGGAACTATCCTAGGTCATTTTATTTATATCATACATCAATAATTAACTCAAACTTACTAACTCTAACTCTGCGAAGTCACCAACATATAGCTATTAACATTTACAGAAATATTGATAGAGAAATGAGAAACCTAAATATCAAGAAAAAGCAGTATGCACAAAATTACAAAATGAATTCGAGATAATACGAATATGCTTATTAATATGGATATCATTAAAGGGAATGAACAAACAATGACACATGAGGAGTTTAACTTTAGTTATTAAGTTTTTCTTTGTTATATTTTTGTTGTTATAGGCAATTTTCGTACAGGTAACACGTTTACCTATGCAAGAAAATATGGTGTATATCCGCTTTATCAATGTATTTTACTTTTTGCAATGAATTGAATTGAAATGAATTAAATTCTGAATTAGATTGAATAAGATAAAATTGTTAATGAAAATACGCATTAAACAATAAAGTAAAAATGATGAGTTAAATACACAGGTATACTGACAATATTATAACGGCACGTCTTGCCCGAGCAGGTCTTTATCTACTACGACAAGAAGACAGAACTACGCGCTCAAAACTTGGGGAAATTATCAAATTGAAGGGTCAACGGAACTTTGTCAAAGTTGGCTCTAGAGTATAACGAGAGGTCTGGCAACTAAGTTTTAATTTAGGCTTTTGAATTCAGATAAAGATGTTCATTTCCGGATGTATTCTACCTCAGCGAGCCAATATCCCGAGATAGCCCATAAATCATAATGACCGCAATATTTACGAGCGCTATCCTTCCACCAAGCTTTTACCAAGTTTTACGAGAGCTTCTTCTGCAATAAGTTCGTTATCGGGTGCATTTTCAAATTTTTAGAAATTTACTTCTTTATTAACACTGATAAGTATATTTGATATTTTAGATAAGGAAACCTTAAAATTAATTTTAGAGCATCTGCATATCTGGTTCAAGCACGATTCGATATTGTTTCATGCATGAAATATTTCATTTTCGGTAGGTATTTTTAATAAATGTTAACGTCAAAACTGGTGGAAATGAAAAAGTTGTATAATCACAGAAAATGTAAAAAATATGATGCTTTTCGCTGCTTCAATTTCAGCTGGGATATTCGTCAAATAGATATTGCTCATATAAACTTGCTGTATAGGAAAAACCAACGAACCCTTTTTTTTCAAAGTTCGTTGTTCTGAAAAATTCAAAACAAGCTACGTGAAATGGAAATTTAGATTTCCATTTAAATGCATGTATAGAAGGGAAAATATTTTTAATTGGAAAATGTGCAAATATATTCCAATTCCATTCAACTAAATAAACATCAATAACGAGCATATCACTTGAAGAAGTAGTTAATAATTCATAATTAGTAACGACTGATAATTGATAGTAATTTTCTTGTTCGAAGTTAATTTCAAAAGCCAACTTCTCTCACCCTCTAGGCAGCTTCATATCGTCCTTTCAAAATGTCATAACTTTGTAGATCAACTAGAAACAGACTAGAGCTTTCACAGGTGAATCAAATTCATATACGCACTATCGTCTTTACAGTCGAGCGACAATGGTGTGTGGCTTGTCTCTTGGTGCGCATAAATCACGCATGCATGCTCGGTTCGACTATTGAAAACGGAAAATTTAATGGTGCGAGCTCTAGAGAGAGAGAGAGAGAGAGAGAGAGAGAGAGAGAGAGAGAGAGAGAGAGAGCAAGAGAGCCGCAAGTCTACATAGTCCATAAATGGATCGCGTACAAAGCCATTTCGAGGTGGTTGAGTTCACTAGGCCACAAGCGAGACTGATAATTCGAATGGTGCACATATGAATGTTTGACCGAAAGTTTTGACTGATCACTTGATTGAAATTTCACGAATTTTCATGATTTACGATTGTCTGTCAGAGAATTGACACCTTTCCAACAAATAAATGTGGCATTGACTTCAGTGAATTTTACAATTGGTCTTCGAGAATCTTTGAGAAATATTTGCTTTTGCTTTTGCGAATTACAGTATCGTTCCGCTTTATTGACTAGCATAACATTCAAATATTTAACTGCAATGATAGTTTGGCGTATTTCTAATAATTCAAGAAAGAATGTGAAATAAGATCGTGATAACAAATCAATGAAAATATAATGAACCGTTATCAAGATCTCATACAGTCGTGAATCGCTAATACGATTTAATTGAATCACCAAAACTATCGAAAGAGCATCAAACGGCTTACGGCCAGAACATTTTTGATTCGTAATTGGATAGAGTAACAGCAAATACTATACAAATACTTACAAATATGTTTGGAATATTCAGAATATATGTTTGGAAAAAAATTAAAATGCACATGTAGCGCAGAAAAGTTATTTATTTAAATGATTTTTAGACAACAATAAACTATGCTGCATCAATTCAATATTTTCAACAATACGAGTCACAAATACTGCATCAAAAAAAAATCGCAGATACGCTATGAATCTCGACAGGCGCCCGGAAAAAAACAACACTGTCAAATATTTACCTGTGCGCAAATAAAAAAAAAAGAGGCCATCGTAATAAATAACAATCCTCTCCTTTGTCCAGAGTGTATACAGATAAATGCTTGACCGATCACAGGTGTCGTATCTCATGGATTTTCAAATTTTTTTTTTGTCGTCGATCCCTTCCACCGCTTCTCTGAGTACTAAGCACTTGCTGTCGTTCATCACTCAAAAACTTTCTTACACGGGGCACAGTATAGACCAATATGAATGATGATTGGTTCGACGGTGGTTAATGACTTTGAAGTCGCATATGATAAACTACGGACTTATTGGAAGCACGGAAAAGCGTGAGGATGACTTTTTCACCATATATAATATTCTTCGAGAGTTCTCCGTTCATTCGACTGGATTACATAAATCTATCGCGCTCTCTCGGCTATTTCCATGCAGCTATTCGTTTCTCTTTTTTTTCTCGTTGATTTGAATGGTATTGAAGTCTCTACCCCACACGCACACACACGCGCGCGCCAACAAGCTACTCTTCGATTTTCACGGCGATCCGCAGTCTATCTCAACGCGATCGACTGTATACGAACTTTTCATAGCTCGAACATTTTTTTAGATCTTTTTTGACCTCGAGATTTACATGCTCAAGTCGTTTTTTGATGGATCCTATATTTCACGTATTTCTGGAGGCATAAAACTAGGATTTCGAATGCAGGCACAAAGATGCTTATAAAATTTTGTACCAAACAAAGTCCCAATTGTGTATGTATATTGACTATAAAATATGATTCTTGCTTATTGCAAAGGTATCTCGGAAATTTCTATACTACGCGATAATTGTTTAATTCACATATATCACGAAAGAAAATGCCCACATTAGTAGACCTGCAACGACGAACGAATGGGGAAAAGTAGTATAGGCGAGCAATCAGCGATTTTAAAGTACATACTCTATCTCCTGTTTATCTTTGACATCAGGCTGTACGTTAGCAGAGTAGAAATGGATGCATGCCCTCTCTTGGCTATCGGAAAGCCGGATGAAGAAGTGCCGAGCGCTGCTCTTTCCCAACCATACGCAATATGAAGAGAAATGGCGAGGATTGGGTAGTAGGAGAGGGAGGGCAGAGGGTTGGAGAAATGTTATCCGGGCGCACAGGGAATTAGCGGGGTTGCGCGCACTGGGTTAGGTGATTATGTGGCATGAGGGCAAAATGTACTCTTTGCTGAACAGTTTGAGTGCGGCGATTAAGAGGTGCGACAAAAAGATTACACCATGTACGTGCGTTTGTGCTTAATGAATTAACAAGCTTGTACACATTATTTATTTAGAGTGATTGGAAATTCAACGATTATGCTTATTAATTGGCTGTAATAAATGAAAAAAATGAATTTGACGTTTCAGACTAATTTAAAAATCTGTATTTAAAACAAGCGGACTCGCTGAAACGCATAATCGATACAACGAGGTTTCAGCAGCTCGATATCATTGTGGCGCCAGGATTCTTTTCGTCGCTGCAGAATGTGGGTTTTCACTGCAGCTAAAAGTCCGGGTGTTCGTTGCCAATATAGTTATATCGATGTAGACTTGCAGTGTGTGATGCAAGCGTCCAAACTCTATTTACATATACTTCAGTTTTCTGCACGCAGTCGAGCTGTTCACTTCGCAAATCATTTTTACAGTACATTAATAATCCGTTTAGTGTTTTAATTGCTTTTTTCGTTAAAGATTACATCGACTAGTCTATAATATGGAGGCAGTACAATACAATATGGACAATATGAACGAATATTATCGAATGGACAATACGAATGAACATAATCATATGGACAATACAAATGAACATAATCGAATAGACAATACGAATGAACATTATCGAATAGATAATACGAATGGATACAATGGAATAGACAACATGGAAGCGAAAATTCCAAGTAAGTTGTGAAATGAAACTGTCTGATAAATGAAAATGCAATTAACTAAGTACTATAATTAATTTATTACTCGTATACAGTCAGATTAAATTATAAACTTCTTTTAAATATCTGCTTATATTGATGATTATAATATACTAAAATTTGTTTACTTTTATTTATCTGATAATTAATCACTAACTATACTTAAATAACTGAGAAATGGACGTAAAAAATTTAATTGTCTATTTCGTTAAAAAATCATAATTGGAGGGTAAATGTAAACATAATAAAGAAATAAAATTCTTCTACAAGAGAAAGCGAGAGAGAGAGAGAGAGAGAGGAGCACGAAAAGAGAGAAGTAGGAAATACTTTCGAACAGTACAGTTTTATTGACATTATTTGATTAAACTTATAATTATCAAACAATCAAATTGAAAGAGCAAAAATTCACGTTAAATCTTAATGAAACCCTATGACCTATAATATTCTAGGCTCTTTTTTGGACCAACAGACATTCTACGGGAATCCTATAAAAGAAGAACGTGAGCCTACTAACACGCCTTACATTACTATATATTCGATAATACTCTTTATTTGGCTTTACACTATCATCACAGGTATGTCAAGCTATCCTTTTCATTTACCTAAGTCTAATCAAATATATTTTTTTCAGTTATAAATTATGACACAATACCTCTAGAACAACTTAATTTGACTCGTGAAATAGACTTACTCACAATCGAACAAATGCATCCAAGGTATTATTCAAGTCATTTTCAATAAAAAAATATAAATAATTTTTGTAAACACTTATTGATAATAATTTGTTTCATAAAATGTTCAGATTCACTTGGAAGTTTCCACTATGCACAATTATAGGTGGATTAATAACAGTTGCTTATGTATATTTCTTGACACAATCCATAGGCAGATATATCGTCTACGTTGGAATGCTCTTAATATGTCTAACACTTCTGTTACTAATAGGTGTATTTGTATTTGCAAGCCTATATTTATATGCTGGAGTATTTGGATCCATCCTGATAATTATACTTTTCGCTTTACTATTATTGATTATAGCCTATTTCATTATTAGTTTTCGCTGTATTCTTAACGTCGGAAATGAATCTATATTCGAAATAATCAGTGATTCTTGTCGGTAAGATTTTAATTATTATATGTGTATATATATATATATATATATATATATATATATATATATATATATATATATATCTTTTTTTTAAGGTTATTTATAGTTTATGGCATATATTTATATTTCAGGGCACTGCGTTATTGTCCTTCTATTACAATATTTACATGCGTCATGTCGGTTATCATTATTCTTATTCTAACTTTCATGGTTTACATTACCAAAATTATCATATTTTCTAACTGCAGTGACAGTATCTTTCGATTTTATGTTATCATTAACTTATATTGTGCTGTGACATTAACAAATTTCTTTACAAACTTCACTCAAATAGTGATTGCTGGATACGTCATTGATTGGGTTTGGTTGAAAGATCCTACTTTGAATTCATTGTCTATCAGACACAGCTTTGATAGAGCTTTCAAGTATAGTTGATATTACAGATCAGTCATTGAAGCATAACTAATGCATCTCTAAATTTGAAATATTTTATGATTTTAGTTTTCACATGGGAACAGTGGCTTTCTTTTCTATTCCATTATTGCCGCATATATGGTCGATATATCTAGTTTGCAAATCACACGACAGTGACAGCAACGCAGTCAAACAATATAATTTTACAACTAGATTCTTCAGTCAGCTTCGTGTATTCATGAATGTAGTTGATTTTGGCATAATCCAAACTCCAATTTACGGATACGAGTGCAGAACTGCAATTCAGGCAGCCCATGATTTAGTATCACAAAATAATCATGAAATTAATTTAGCAGTGCTCCAGGTATCTATTTTTAATTTCCTATAATAAAAGGTTGAATAAAAAAAGTATACGTATTCGACTTTATACATTTTAGATTTCTGACATGGTTATTGCTTTTGGATCTTTTCTCATATCACTACCCTTTCGTATAGAGCATGTAAATACTTCTATATACTCGTTGCTTATTCCTTTTTATATAATATTGGCAACCGCTGTACGAACATTGTTAGTAAATAAAATGATAAACAATTGTACTTCTGAGGACTTGACAATACAATACGGCAATGTGCCTCAACATGGCAGTATTATGAAAGAGTAATAGATATTGTATTTCGGATGAAAAACATCAATAAGATACATTATGGAAGCAACCGAAGATTTTTTAAATAATTAATCTGATTAACTACAATTATTTGTATCGATCACGCTTAGTTTTACATACAAACATTATTGTGTTATAAATGTAATTGGAGTATCTATTTTAGTATAAATATATCTCATTCAGTTATTAATTTCCTATCTGATATTTTAGTATTTTGATCCTTTAACTAATTGCTTTTGAGTAAGAGTTATCTGTTCTGTATTAATTATGTTTCTTCATTTTTATTTATCGTAAATGAGTCCAGTGTTTTCGAATAAATGTACATGAAAAAGTTATTAAATAATAACAATCAATTTATAGTAGAGTTCTTATTTTTTATCTACAGTTAGTTTTCAATTAGAGTTATCAATTTTTTTTTAAGAAGTATTCTTTGTTAAACAGATTAAGTATAACTATTAAGTGGATGAGAGAAAAGATAAAAGAATCTATTTACTTATTTGATGGGCTCACTTGATTGTACGACATTATGGGTGACTGGAAAGGGCAGAAAGTTATGTTTATCAATTATAATATATTGGAAAAGTGAATTAGAAAACGGTTATTTCAAATATCAGATAATTCAAAAGATTATTATGTTTAGATTTGAAATATTATTTTTAATGAAATTGAATCAGACCAAGAAAGTCATTATGAAAAATATATTCAGTATAGAAAGTTAATAAAATAAATCTATTAACTTAGTAATATGCTTGAGTTCGATAAGAATATTTGCATTGATTTTATCTTGATAATTAATATTAGAGCTGTTCCGGATGACTAAGCATTTACGCGTTCGGATGACTAAGTATTTACGCGTTCGTATGCTAAGTGAGGAAATAGTCAGAATCAAAATCACGCGCTAGCTACAGAATGTCCGTTCGCGATATATTTCTTTCTTAGACCAAGGCGCAACTGCATCTCGAACCGCTAACCACCCGATATCCAAACGTGCGGGAAACATTTTAAAAAACAGGCAGAGTGCGCCTAAGAATGATTTACGGCCACACTTAAAAGCAGTGCCTGCAAGAAAACCCGACCCGACGATGGCCGCTGATCGCGCACATGTTTTCGCTCAGGTTTCCGCGGGCCTTCTCGACGCGCAAAGACCTTTTCCGACTAGTTTCTTTTACTAATAATATGTTAAGAATCATAAGAAATATTGTAAGCCAGCGACGCTAAATGTACTAGGGTTAAGATTAAATATAAGCACCGTAGAATTTCAAATTTGTAAGAGGGCGAGTGGCGAGTTGGACGGGTCATGAGCGATTCTGCGTGATGCGCGCTGACACGAGTCAATTTCAATTATAATAAAGAATCAAACGAGACGTTGAGATCCTCAAATTTTAAATTGTTCAGTTAGGAAAACTGCACCCGTGTGCGAAAGCCGCTGTCCGTCAAGCTCGAATAAGCATGCGCATCGCCAGAATTGATGTTAGCTTGCGAATCAAACCAGCAGATCGGAAACGTGTATTTCCGAATCTCACATCGAGATAAAGACTCGAAGGTTGAAAAAGTTGAGAGCGGGGGCCGTGGGCCCCCCTCGAAAACCAATCGTGAAACGTGACGCGAGCAGGACAGCAGGCTGAAAAACACCAACATTGGCGGCAAAGCGAAAATAAGCAACGCCCCACGGCCCTTGAGCCACGAGAGAAGAAAAAATTAACGGGAAAGCGGGAGAGGGAAAATCACATGCCTCTTTTTTGACTCGCTCAGCGGATTCGGGCAGAACCGTTCGACCTTTCGCCTAGGCAAGTTAGCGCCGTTTTTCTTCGTGCGATAGTTGTTCGCAGCTACTTGCGGTTTTCCTCACCTTATAAGAAACCTGTGAACCACCTCTGTACCTAGCGCTAATTTTATCTTTGTCTTATTGATTGTGTTTGACTTGTGTTTTTCTGTAATAAATCTTAATTCACCTTTTACCGATTTGTCGTTTCACTCCTCAACCCGAACAAATTGGTGCCCCGGGTGAGGAGCTGCGAACGTAGAAGAGTGAGAGCAAATTAGTGAACGGTGCACCGAGTGCGTATAAATTCTCAGTTATTCTGTGTCTGTTTTATCGAAGCATCAATGCCGCCGAAGAAACGTCCCGCTACAGCAACGAAGAAAAGTGCCGGTGGAAAGCGAAGACAACTAGCCACGGATGGCCCGGCAACGACAAGCACCGCGCGCAAGACCATGCGCGGAACGCGCGGAAGGACCCGTGCACCGCCTGGACGTGGATCAACAACAAATCAACCTCACTCAGAACTGATCGACCCAGACAACATCGTCATCGGACAGCCTCAACGGAGAGAAGGCAGCCGTGGGCCCAGCAACATCAATGTCGAGATAGGGGAGACTGGCGAACAAGGAAGCAACAGAAATCTTCAAAGCGTATTGCGAGGTACGAGAGCGTCCGGCCAACAGGTCGCGAACCGCGAATTTGTAACGGAGAACGAAACGAATGCGAGCGCGACTGCTAGCACTAATATGAGTGCAGGTGAGAGTGTAAGAGCGGATGTGAATGTAGATCCAAGCTTTTCGATAGGACAAGCGATAATGGAAACGCTGCGTGCCGTTAGGGACGTTGCTGCTAGCGAAGGCGGTTCGCGTTTGGGGAGTCGCCCATCATTTCTAAAAGAATTACCGGAATTTAACGGCGATCCACTTGAATGGATTCTTTTTGAAAAACGCTTCCAGGATTCAACTAAAGATTTCGAATATAATGATAGTGACAACATAGTTCGGTTGCAAAAGGCGGTACGTGGCGATGCTAAACTCAAAAACAAGACTTTGCTAGCTACCGCGTCGAGTGCTCGATCGGTCATGAATTCACTAAGACTGCAATTTGGAAATCCAGCCGTGATAGCTGACCGTATCTCCGAAGATATCGAAAATCTGCCGTCCATGAAACGAGGGGAGGCAAATATCGTTGAATTCGCGACAGGATTGAATAACGCGCTCACTGCTTTCAAATCCTTGTCATTAACCGAGTACTTAACTGAAGCTTCACTATGGAAAACCGCTATAGGAAAACTTCCGGCTAATTTGCAGATGGCGTTTTCCGATCACTTAGTAACTACTACCGGAAATGAAACAAAAATCGAGAAACTGTCAAACTTTTTATTGCAAAAGGCAGAAAATGCCGTAAGCGCGGGAATCGTAAATCTAGCAGCAACGTCGTCTGGCAAAAGTAAAACTGTGAAGGATAGCGACGCGTCGAGAAGGCTGGCGCAATCATCGAGGCGTGCCGTGGTGTGCGCAACTAACAATCAAGCGCCGCAAATGAAGGGTGAGAGAATGCGGTTGAAAAAATGCGGTTTCTGCGATACGGATGAGCATACATTGCGCGAGTGTCAGCTTTTCAAAGGAAGATCGCTTGATGATAAATGGGATATAGCGAAAAACTTGAAAGTTTGCTTCAATTGCCTCGGAGGGGGTCATACACGAGTGCGTTGCAAATCACAACGAACCTGTAGTCTCTGTGATAAACATCATCACTCCTTGCTACACTTTGATCGCTCCGGGGAAGAAAAGGCCAAGGACTGCGAAAGTAACAAGCGCGAGTTAGGGCCGCATTTGGACAATCGGCGCCGGCAGGGCGAGCATAAGCAGTGCGAGCCAGAGACGCATACGTTGTCATGACTCGCGCCGAGAACAGGTCTACTCAAAATGACATCAATTCGTATCAGAGGACCAAACGGAATCGCAAGGGCGTACGCGATGCTAGACGGAGGCTCCACAGTAACGATAATAAGTAAGAAGTTAGCGCGTACGGTTGGTTTGTACGGACAAAAAATTGATATGAAAGTTCGAGGATTGTGGGGCGGGGAAAAGCACACGCAGTGCGAAAGAATTGACTTTATGATAGCAGGCGAGTTCGGGGAACACAAAATTGAGCACGCGTTAGCCGTCTCTCACATGGATTTACCGACTCAAACCTTGTACAGAAAAATAGTAAATCAAATCAAGCGTCAAACCCGTGTAGAAATCGATCCATATAAAAATGCGAAGCCCCTTGTCCTTATTGGTCAGGATAATTGGCGTTTAATTCAATCTCTTGAATGCTTACCCGCGGAAGACTCCGGACTAGTCGTTTCGCGCACGTTACTTGGGTGGGTAGCGCACGGATACAGCGAGAATAGACAAGAGGAAATACTTTCTTTAAACGTGGACGCATCAGTATGCGCGTCCGATTGCGTACACAGCGATGAGAACGAAGAGTTAGATAAACTGACTGAAATGTTTGAACAATATTTCATTCTAGAAAACCTCGGAGTATCGAGCCCCGCGATTATGCATAAAGATCAAGTAGATAGAACAATGAGAATTTTGCAGGGAACAACGCGAAAGGTAGGAAAGCATTGGGAAACCGGACTGTTGTGGAAGAGCGAAACAGTGCCGGACATGCGAGACACGCGTGCGACAGCGCTTAAACGTATGTACGCGATGGAACGAAGGTGCGATCGCGATCCGGATTTCGCTGAGAAATTTTACCGGGAAGTGGATAGGTGGATCAAATGCGAGTATGCTGTAAAGATAGACAAGAACGCACCCCCGTCCCGGTGTAGACGTTACCTTTCGATCTTTAGCGTAAATAACCCGAATAAACCCGAAAAGGTCAGACCAGTTCACGACGCGGCAGAGAAAACAAACGGCGTTAGTTTTAACGATATGCTCGATACCGGACCGGACCTCCTTGAGTCGCTCGTCGGAGTTTTGACGCGTTTTAGACAGTATCCCTATGCCGTCAAAGCCGACATAAAGGATATGTATCTACGAATTCGAATAATTGAGAAAGATAGAGCAGCGCAAACGTTTCTTTACCGTGGGGCTGATCGATCTCGCCCACCCGACGAATGGGAAATGAACTGCTTAATTTTTGGATCAAAATCATCCCCGACTAGCGCGGTATTCGTAAAAAACAAAAACGCACAATGTTTCGAACGTATAAAACCCGAAGCCGCGAAAAGTATCATAAGAAACAGTTACATGGATGATTACCTCGCCAGTGGTAATGACGCCAGTAAGATGAGACAGATGGTTCGTGACGTAATTTTAATAAATAGCGAAGCGAATTTTGAATTGCACGGGTGGGCGTCAAACGACGAAAGCATTATTGAGTGCGTTCAAAAGGACAACAAGTTGAATGAAAAAAAGACAGCGAATTTGTGTAATGCGGAAGAGCGCGTTCTAGGGGTATACTGGGATCGCGACGCGGATACCTTTCGTTTTAACGTTGGTTTGAGTAAAATCAAAAACGATATAGCCGCGGGGAAAACAAGACCTACCAAACGAGAGGTTTTAAGTATCGCGATGTCGGTATACGATCCTTTAGGAATCTTATGTCCTTTCACATTGAATGCGAAATTAGTCGTTCAAGATATCTGGATTAGCGGCGTTAGTTGGGACGCGAAGATTCGTGACGACGAATTCATGGCCTGGCAAACATGGCTAGAAAATTTGCGAAAAATGATTAACTGTACCATCCCGCGCTCTTTTATTCCCATAGGCGCTGATTACGCACACACGCAATTGCACGTTTTCTGTGACGCAAGCAAAGTAGCCTTTGCAGCGGTCGCGTATCTGAGGATACTTGCTCGCGACGGGTCAACGAACGTAGCGCTCGTCATGGCAAAAGCTAGAGTCGCGTCTGTAAAGCCCACAACAATTCCACGATCGGAACTCCAAGCAGCCGTTCTCGGTGCGCGATTAGCATCCACGATTGGGAAAGAGTTAGATATTAAAGTCGATGAAAGAATCTTTTGGTCGGACTCTACGACGATCATTCATTGGATTAAAAGGGGGCCGCGCACTAAGCAAGTATATGTAGCGAATAGAGTAGGAGAGATAAGTTCAAATACACGTGCGATAGAGTGGCGTTGGGTGCCAACAGAACTCAACCCGGCGGACGACGCGACGCGGCCGTCAAATAAGCCTATGTCTTCGACGGATCGGTGGCTCGTCGGCCCCGAATTTTTACGAGAACAGGAATGCATGTGGCCGAAGCCGAAAAAATTAAATGAGGAAGAAGAACGAGAAGCGGATAAATTAGAATCTCGAAAAGAGTTCATAGGCGCGTTATTTGCCGGCAAACCGAGGGCATGGCAAGAATCCGCGCAAGTTGGAAAATGTCGCTGGAATAGAATCGTGAATGTCGCCGAAAGTTTACGGAATTTATTTCGCCTTTATAAATGGAAAGTGCGAAAAATACGGGGCGAAATAATAAAGGAAGTAGACGAAGTAAAGGAATCGCAGATGCAAAGAATACGTGAGGCGGAAAATTTTTGGTACCGTTTAATTCAGGCAGCTTATTTTTCAAGCGAACTCGAAGCTCTTAGGCGAGGAAAAGATTTACCACGAGGCAGTAAGATAATTAGTCTACGACCACACATCGATGAAGAAGGAATATTACGCGCGAGAGGCCGCGTTTCTAGAGTTTTTAATCATAAAACCGGTCAGTCGAATAACGAATTCAAACTTTTTGAAAATAGACCAATTATTTTAAGTGCAGATCATTACGCGACGAAGTTCCTTATCGAAATGTATCACGAGCGATATTACCATGCGAACAACGAGACCGTTGTGAATGAACTACGACAAAAATATCACATAATAGGTTTGCGCACCAGATTGAGATGGATCGCGAAAAGATGCGCAACCTGCCGACTCCAACGCGCAATGCCGCAAAACCCGCCTATGGCCGATTTGCCTGAATGTCGCACGACTTACGGACAGTGGCCGTTTTCTCAATGCGGCATTGATTATTTCGGACCGATGATAGTAAAAATAGGTCGTCGACGAGAAAAAAGATGGGGCGTACTTTTCACTTGCATGACGACGCGCGCAATACACCTAGAATTGGCAAGCACTTTAAGCGCCAGCTCAACAATCATGGCCGTCCAAAGGTTGGCCGCGCGAAGAGGTTTTCCCTCGAAAATTTTTAGCGATAACGGTACGAACTTTGTAAAGGCTAGTAAAGAGTTACGCGACGCAATTACCGGAATAGACACAGACAAGCAACTGGAGTTCGCAAAAATGAATCGATTCTCATGGCATTTTAATCCGCCGGACGCACCGCACATGGGGGGAGCTTGGGAAAGGTTGATAAAGAGTGTAAAAGTAGCAATTAACCATGTTCTGAACGATCAATCGTGTAGTGAAGAGGTCCTTCTAACGTTACTAACCGAAATAGAACATATGGTCAATTCGAGGCCATTGACACATGTGTCAACAGACCCAAACGATGAGGAGGCATTGACGCCGAACCATTTTCTCATCGGCCGATCTTCCGGAAATTTGAAATGCGCACGTTATGAGAGCGAAATTTTAAGCCCGCGTCGGACTTTCGAAATAGTACAGAATCTTGCACACGGATTTTGGAAGCGATGGTTGAGAGAATACTTGCCTATGATGCTCGCACAAAAAAAATGGCATAAGCAAACGTCTCCGATTCAAGTGGGCGATATTGTGATAATTCTGGATTATCAAGCCCCTCGAAACACATGGAAAAAGGGAAGGGTCATTGAAGTATATCCAAATAAATCCGACGGAATAGTTCGATGCGTCAAAGTTCGTTCAGGAAAGAGTGTTTTGACGCGGCCCGTTCATAGACTCGTTAAAATTCTAGAATCTAAGGAAAATAAAAAATCACACTGATTTTTTAGGGGGGAGGATGTTCCGGATGACTAAGCATTTACGCGTTCGGATGACTAAGTATTTACGCGTTCGTATGCTAAGTGAGGAAATAGTCAGAATCAAAATCACGCGCTAGCTACAGAATGTCCGTTCGCGATATATTTCTTTCTTAGACCAAGGCGCAACTGCATCTCGAACCGCTAACCACCCGATATCCAAACGTGCGGGAAACATTTTAAAAAACAGGCAGAGTGCGCCTAAGAATGATTTACGGCCACACTTAAAAGCAGTGCCTGCAAGAAAACCCGACCCGACGATGGCCGCTGATCGCGCACATGTTTTCGCTCAGGTTTCCGCGGGCCTTCTCGACGCGCAAAGACCTTTTCCGACTAGTTTCTTTTACTAATAATATGTTAAGAATCATAAGAAATATTGTAAGCCAGCGACGCTAAATGTACTAGGGTTAAGATTAAATATAAGCACCGTAGAATTTCAAATTTGTAAGAGGGCGAGTGGCGAGTTGGACGGGTCATGAGCGATTCTGCGTGATGCGCGCTGACACGAGTCAATTTCAATTATAATAAAGAATCAAACGAGACGTTGAGATCCTCAAATTTTAAATTGTTCAGTTAGGAAAACTGCACCCGTGTGCGAAAGCCGCTGTCCGTCAAGCTCGAATAAGCATGCGCATCGCCAGAATTGATGTTAGCTTGCGAATCAAACCAGCAGATCGGAAACGTGTATTTCCGAATCTCACATCGAGATAAAGACTCGAAGGTTGAAAAAGTTGAGAGCGGGGGCCGTGGGCCCCCCTCGAAAACCAATCGTGAAACGTGACGCGAGCAGGACAGCAGGCTGAAAAACACCAACATTGGCGGCAAAGCGAAAATAAGCAACGCCCCACGGCCCTTGAGCCACGAGAGAAGAAAAAATTAACGGGAAAGCGGGAGAGGGAAAATCACATGCCTCTTTTTTGACTCGCTCAGCGGATTCGGGCAGAACCGTTCGACCTTTCGCCTAGGCAAGTTAGCGCCGTTTTTCTTCGTGCGATAGTTGTTCGCAGCTACTTGCGGTTTTCCTCACCTTATAAGAAACCTGTGAACCACCTCTGTACCTAGCGCTAATTTTATCTTTGTCTTATTGATTGTGTTTGACTTGTGTTTTTCTGTAATAAATCTTAATTCACCTTTTACCGATTTGTCGTTTCACTCCTCAACCCGAACAAGAGCTGAAAATCATACGTACAGGCTGTTATTACTTAGAAATATAACTAAAAAATGATATTACTCGTTGAATGAACCAGAATTTAGCAACAATTGCAAATATTTTTTAGCTGGTTGGTAGCAGTATGTGAACTCCCTAAAAGGATAATCGATACAACGAAGGTTAAACAGCCAGAAGTCCCCTTGGCGCCAAGATTCTTCCCCTCGCTAGAGAATCTGGGTTTTCCTTGCCAATACAGTAATATCTACGTAGACATGAAATGGGTCCGTGTAGACATCCAAGCTCTCTTTACATCTAGTTGTTGGCTCAGTTTTCTCTACGCAGTCGAGCTGTTCACTTCGCGAATTTCTACAGTAGCTCTGGTGCATACAGTAATCTATTTATTTAAATGTTAATGTTTTGAACTACTAGCTTATATATAGCCCATACAATATGCAGACGAAAATTCAAAGTAAGTAATAAATAACTATAGATTACAATATTCAAAAGGACGACTTACGTACTACTGCAATTTACAGATACAGTCGTATTGAATCACACACTTCACGTGAATCCTATACAGGAAGATCGCAAGCCTACTAATTCACTATTCATTTTCATATTTTCACTAATATTTCTTGTTTGGTTCAGTGTCAGCATACAAGGTATCGTTGATTTACAACTTCCTTTTTATTGCAATAACAGTCAAAATTTTTTAGCTCTAGCCTATCCTATGCATATTGATCGATTTGAGGATGAACACAAACATGCAATTATTCAGAAATATAGAATTGATACTCAAAATCAGATTGAAGAGCTTGAGATCAGGTAAATTCTTTTTCATACTACAAATTTAAAAAAAAAGTTATTCGCTTTGCAATTTAGAAATTATCTTTATTTAAATTCAATTTCAGATTCGATGGTCGATTTATATTTTACAGCGTTGTTAGCGCATCAGTAGCCATTATTTATATGTATTTGCTAACTCAAACGATAAGCCGATTTATGATTTATTTATCAACGATATTATTAATTATTGGATTGGTCGTATATGTCGTAGTTAGTCTGATAATAGCTATTCCATTTGATCACATCCACAGGATTATATTATTTTCGTTTTCATTAGTTTATTTATTGTATCATTCTATAGTTCTTATGTGCCTTCAAAAAATCGGATTCAAAACGATAACTGATATAATCAAAGACTCTTGCAGGTAATATCTTGAACGCATATTATCAATAATAAAATAATAATACATGTCTATATTCACTTTCAGAGCAGTAATACTATGTCCTTCAATAATAATTTTCACATGTATAATGTCTGCGATAATTATTCTAGTATTTGCATTTTCACTTTACATCTTTAAATGCATAGCGTTGTCTAATAATGACTGTTCCCACATCATAGCTTATTGCTGCGTGGATATAATTGGCGGAATCATCATCGTTTCTTTCCTCATTAATTTCACCCAAATAGCAATTTCTGAATATACAATCAATTGGTTCTGGACTGATGATAAAAATTTAGTTACGCATAGCTTCATCAGTAGCAGCATCGAAAAAACAATAGGGTACAGTCAACAAGTTAGAATTTATTACTCAAATATAAAATTAATTGAATTTTATAACATAATTATTTCGTATTCAGATATCATATGGGTACAGTAGCGTTTGCATCAATACCGCTATTGCCTAATATTTGTGCAAGCTTCCATGTTTGCACCTGCCAATACGAGTCAGACGGAGTGATAAAAAAAGAAAATATATTCATAAGATTCATAAGTCAGATCGCTTTGATATTTTATATAAAAGATTACGCTCTCATTCACACTTCGATCTATGGATTTGACTTTTCTAACTCGGCAGTGGCGGCTATTGCCCTGGTGTCGGAAAATGCATCATTATTTTTAGCGGCGACAGAGGTGCGCAAGTTGTTAAACAACATTTATAAATATCACCAATGTGAGACTGCATTTAAAGTGCCTATTTCTCTCATTCTTAGATATCTAATCTGGTGCTGTTGGTTGGTGCTGCAGTTGCCACAGTACCATTCGCAATTGAGGATCATCCGTACTTAGCGCTATACTCGTTTCCCCTGCCGTTTTTTATACTACTTGTGACCGCAATACGTGCATTGCTAGTAAATAAAATGATAATTCAGAGTACTTCAGAAATTTTAAAAGAAAAACTTGAAGTGTAATCGCCTTGGACGTATATATATTATCAAATGTGTTAATTCGTAGTCGCATTGCATTAATATCAAATCAAAACTTGCATTTATACTTCACATATTTGATATTTAAGTAATGTTATCTGCGGTAGCTGATTGATGGATACATATTTTCGTTATTTTGACTAAATTTAAAATACTCTGTAGTCTAGTTTTATAAAACAAACACAATAAATAAAAAGAAGAACATTATTGTTGAACAAAAAAAATTAATTGCATATGTAAAATTTACTTTTATAATGTACGAATGCTTTCACAAATATTAATAAAGGGATAACACATATACACTGACTCATGCAAGAGAACCTCATTTCAAATTTATTCTCAACATTTTCCTTCAAAATTGTTTATCATTCAGTTAGATAAGATACAAAGAGTACATAAATAATTGAAATGACGAATGTTAAATAGATTAGGGTCGATTGGCGCGAGGGCTCTCCCCCTCGAAAGAATCTCACTTTTCCTACAGCCAATACAAACATTTTAACTAAACTAATGTTGGTCTAAACAGACATTTTGCTGGACATGTCACTCCTGTGTAAGTAGTCAAATGGTTAAGTACGAAGTTTTGTCACTGTACATTCAGTATCTTACAATTATCGCAAACGAATTTTTACAACTAATGTAATTTATGAAAACTAGTTTAATTACCAACTGTTTACTACTATGGTGACTTTAACAATAAGTGACTACTATACGTATATAAACATGTTTGTAATCATATATAACTGCTATTCCCTCCCGTAGGCTTTTGTGAATTAACGTATTGATTACTTGATGTATTGCACAAATGCTAAATAGACGTGATCTCAAATGGCGTCAGGATTCTTCCCCTCGCAATAATCTGGATTTTTCTGCGATCCAATACGAAATTCTAGTTGAGCGATGCAGATTGACGTATCTTATTCGAAATTGTTAGTTTTATACGAGTAGTCCAATGATTCAGTATGATGTTTCATTCATGTATAGTTTTAGTATATTACTGATAATTATTGTAAATAAATGTTGATCAATACTTATTCGACAATATACAAAAATTTTCGAAATCAAATTATAATCTTGAATTCAAGTAAGATCATATTCGATTTTCAATGAATTTTATTTAAATCTTTTTCGACCATTGGCAAAATTTCTTTTGTATGATAGCCCATCACTGTAGAGTTTGAAATTACTCAAAATTGATTCCACTTTGGATGACAAATATAAAAATACGAATCTCGATAACAATCAACATCGGCCTACACTAAATAATGTTTCTGATTTAGCCATGTTACACATGCATATCTATATACTTCGATCCACTGAATATAAGTTCGGTTTGAGAACTGCTTTATTATCCTTTAGTTGATTAATTAAAACAACTTAATAAATTAAAACAACTTTAACTTAAACTAATGGAAAACCGAACAACCAAGATTTTACAAGTTTTATATGCAAACAGTTGAAGGGTGATCGGGAGCAATTCTAGTACTAAGTAACAAAGGTAATAAAATTATTCGGTCTTACGAACTCACCCTAAAAATTATAATACTAGATTCGTAAATAAAATCAGTATTTGAAATTTTCTGGATCCGGCACAGTAGACTCCGCACGTAAACTATATAAAAGAAAAATGAAAGACTACAAATGCTCCGCTTCTCATTATATTCATTTGTATACTTTTCATTTAGCTACAGATGAATGTTAAAGATAAATCATAATGATATTTTTTATTTTATTTGTATAAATTAATGATATCTTTCCTCAGTCATAAGTAATGAACCAAAACTTTCATTCTACATCGCTAAAATATTTAATCCAAGATCAGAATTACAATTATATCCAAAGTAGGTTTTGATTTGCTTTCAATAGAAAACATCTGGCATCTGTATGCATATAATTATTAATAAACGCTTTCTTTCTTGTAATATTAGCTGGGGTTAGGAATTCTCACTACGCATAAATATAAATGGATTCATATCATTCATTTACATTTATATTCTATTGCGATATGAAGGTAGACACGTTATTTACATCCGAATATTCTTTTTGTGTTGTCTAGTAGTTTTAATACCAATCGATGTGATTGCAATACCCCGATCACTTTTAAATTATTAGATTAGCTAATAATCTGTGGATAATTTTCTTAATATTGATTTTAGCCTGTTTAGTTATAATATTTAAGTGTATTTGTGATGTGGAAAAGAAGTAATATTTGAAATAACTAGAGATATTTGTAGGTGAAATTGATTGAATTTATTTATTATTTAAAGTACCAAGATGTTATTTTTCCATTTCAATATTGAGATGTTCAATGTCTCTTATAATTATTCTTATTTTTATTTTTACAATTTACATGAATTTTCTTACAGTATTTTATCAATGTTTTAAAAGTTCACTCATGACAGTTTCAAAGTAGTAATAAAATTACTTTTAATAGTGAATTATTTGCTCGCTGCTACTGCGTTACTATCATAATTTACTTACTCATAAAATTTACTTAAATAGTAATTTCTAGATATGTTATGGGTTAGTTTTGGTCTATATTTGGATTGGTTTATTGGAAAGAACCAAATATATACTCATTGTCTTCTAGATGCAGCCTTAGATGTGGTTTATAGTATTATTAATGTTCTATAGAAATTAATCAAGTATATAATAATCGTATATTAGTTGTATAAAATAGGAATTATTTTATTTATCCAGTTTTCAGATGGGACCAGCAGCTTCTTCATCTATTCTATCAGAACTTTTATATGGTCTTCATATCAGTTTCCAGATATCGACGTCGTAGTAATGGTGACGTTAAACGATATAACTGCTATTACGGCGGCTCACAACTTAGTCTTGCAAAATAACTAGTAATTTTATTTGACAGTTTATATATTAATATTTTGGTTTATTATTCGATAATTAAAAACTGCATAGAGAAGATATTTCTACCTAAATTTTTATTTTTATAATTTCATTATAAAAATATAGTGTACGGAATATTTCTCATAACATTATGAGACATATTCATGATAACATTATGAGTTACATTATGAGAAATATTCCATTTACCATTTACCATTGACACCATTTACATATGAGAATTTACACTTGAAAATATATTCTTTGGTGTGTATGCTTTATTTATTCTTTTTTATAGTACATTGATGACTGCAGTTCAAACATTGTTAGTAAATAGAATCATAATATATTGTACGTCTGAAGCATTAATTGAAGAAGATGATTGCGTGCACCCTGTCTTTGAACTTCATGTATCTCATGTTAGCAGTTTTTGTATTTAGAATGAAAAGAGCAGATAAATGTATTTTGGAAACCAATGAGAGGAATGATTTAAACGATAACTTTTAAACGGTGAGATTAATGAAATGTAATTATACATTTGGTAAAATTTGTTGTTATTTGTAAATTAACTTTATAGAAGTATAAATCTTAAAGCTTACATTTTTATTTAATAGAAGCAATTGGTGATATCAGTGAATTAAATATAAAAAATGTAATAATTATTACATCCTCTCATCCAATCATTTTTAAAAAGCCATTTTATTCAATTGTATTTACTGTAGATAAAAGAATTCATAAGAATTTAGAAAACTTAATATATTAAATTTTGATTATCAAGGCTACAATTTTATATAAATTTACACTAAAACGTCATTCATCTTAAACAAATCATTTCTAAAAGATAAAATAAGCAAATTTTATAATTAATACTATGATAAGCTTAATAAATAATTATATGTTACACGTAACAATTGTTGCAAGTTCTTTTTTCAAGTAACAAAAAGAGTTAGTGGAAGGCAGTCGATACTACCAAGGTTATACAACTAAGAGTCAGAGTTCTTGGCGCCGCAATTCTTCCCCTTCTTTTGGTTATTCCTCAGCGATATAGTAATATCTGCTCAGTTTCAGTGGTACATACAGACATCAAGTCGCTTTTACATCTTCTCGTTTGATCAGTTTAGTGTGTGTCGTCGAGTCGATCACATCGGAGCTTCTACACACTTCCGAAGAACTTTTATCCGTCCACAATGAAAACAAAAGTTCATAGTAAGTAAAATAAAATAACAATAAAGCTTTAGTAATGTACACAAATTATTATCAAATTAATAGTTTCAAATAGTTTCAGAAGTTTAAAAATTATTATGATAATTGAATTATCTGGATCAAATTATATAGAACAAGTATAATATACTATCTCTATCTTCTCGCTTCTTATAATGTGACCGAGATAATCCAACCATTATACTAATATAATGAATAATTATTAGTATTATCTGTTAACTTTTACCAAGCAGCAAATAAAGTGAAAGATTTTATAGGTAATTTGTTAAAACAGCAAACAATACACGTAAATCCTATTCAAGAATATCGGAAACGTACAGATGTAGCTTTTATTGTTATATTTGGAATAATATTTTGGTTTTGGATCAGTATTACATTTCAAGGTATCAAAGTTGCTTGTCACATATATTAAATAAATTTAATGATCGACTTCTAATTCTTTTAGCTCTAGTGTATCCTACAGTATTTGAATTCATAAATGAGTGTGACTTGGATTGTGCTGTCATAGATAAGAAAGGATATATTCTGTTTGATGTTGAAGACATTGAATTGAAGTAGTTATTGACAATTTTTATAAGAAATTTTCAAATTAATTATAGTTTTTTTTTATTAAAATATATTTCTTTGTTTAGTTTTACATGGATTTTTCTATTATGCACCGTGGTTGCTGGTATAGTAGCAATTGTATATATGTTTCTTCTGTTCCAACCGAAAATAGGCTATGCTATAATATACATCGCAGTAATAATACTTTTTTCTTCGATATTCACAAATTTTACAGGAATGATTATGTTATTTAAAGGATACAGTTATACGATCATTATCTTATTTTCACTTTTCTTGTTACTGTATATAGTTTATCAAACAGTCGTTCTTTATTGTTTTGGCAAAGTAGGAGTAAAACCAATACTCAAAATAATTGAAGACTCCTGTCGGTAAGATGTCACATTATCTTTAAATAAATAATTTGATAGAATTATGAAATTGATTAAATTTATTTATCTTTCAGAACATTACTATTTTATCCATCATGTTTATTATTCGTACTTTTTATGTCTGTTTTAATAATTTTGATATTCAGTCTTTCACTTTATGCATTGAAACATATTCCGACATATTACGTACGAAAATCTCACATTGTAACATACTACGCCATAGAAATATTTGGTGCCATCGTTGTTGTAGGATTCATTACAAACTTTACTCAATTAGTAATTTCTGGATTTGTCATTGATTGTTTTTGGACCACAAATAAAAATTTAGTATTAGGGTTTTCTGTTAAAAAAAATATTAAAAGAGCTTTAAGGTACCTACTGTACATTAAACAAATTTCATGATCAAATGTAAATTTCATAACTATTTGCTTATTCTCATATGTAGCTATCATATGGGAACAGTATCCTTTGGATCAATACCACTACTACCAAACGTTTGTGCTATTATACAAGCTTGTTGCTGCGAAAGTGATACTGATGGAATTCCGAAAAATGATAATATTTTCATAAGATTTTTCAGCCAGGTTAGTTTGATAATTAACATAAGAGATTTCGCATTGATACAAACGACAATTTATGGATCTAACTACACGAATTCAATAATAACAGCTATTGATTTAGCATCGCAAAATTCCAAATTAAATTTAGCCGTAATAGAGGTTAGCTGATTTGTTCAGTGCCATGATAAAACAGCATGAAAATAATTTGTATTTTCAATTTTAGATATCCAATGTCATTGTTATGATTGGAATTGTGCTGACAATATTGCCATTTGAAGTTGAAAAACTCTATTTTGCCATGTACTCTATTCCGGTTCCTTATTTCATAATACTGATAACTGCATTTCGTTCATTACTAGTAAATCAGATGATAATGCAAAATACATCGAAACCTACGAAAAGGTTGATAGTTGCACAAAAATCTTCAACGCCACCAATGTATTATGTGTGATAATTGTCTGTGATAGATTTAAAATATAATAATAATAGTTTTGAAAGTACAATACAATATGTTCCACATCTGTATTTTTTAAAGATACCAGTGGTATTCAACATAATTGTTATGTAACAATGAATTCTACAATAAAACATTATATTCTTCTAAACATCTCTGTGAATTTATTCATGAACCTGCACTAAAATTAACCTAAAGAGAGAATAAGGATTCTACACGTTCACGTTGCAATCGTCCATAAAATCTCAGACGCTTATTCGGGTCCTTAAGCAGCTCGATGAAAATCGGTGCGCGTCGTCGTTGTCGTGGGATGAACTTTTAGCCGTTCATTGTCACTGAACATTGAACTTTAACCCTTCTCGCTTCGTTTTCCTTTAGGCGTGTGGACAATTGTGCACGGTTTTATTGTACACATAAATTATTGTGCACAATAACAAGGCACAAATCAGCGTGTATCAATTCTTACGCTATGTTACTGTGCGCAATAATTTTTGTGCATAATAAAATCGTGCACAATTGTCCGCACGCCTTCTTTTGGTTCCTTTATAGCCTAAAAAATTAAGCCCTAAGTGTTTTTTATTCCTACGCAGTCTCGAACAAACAAATTACTTCTTTTTTATTTTCCCAGCATCGTCGTTGGCTTTTGGTAAATTTCATATCTGCGCAAGCTTCGTTCACATGTGAAAGTTTATTAAAAAGCTCTTTTAGTTGCAACATTAATTTCCAAGAAATAATGTCAAAAAGACTGTTTGCTGTGATCGTTACGACGCCTTGATTAGCTCATACAGCAGACAATGAATGAATGGCAATATAAAGCGACTTAATAATAATTGAATTGCCACCACATAGATGACAGCTTTAAACGCACCGAGAATTTCAGATCGGACCTTGGCTTCTCTTCTTTGTTTTCTATCGTGGTACGCCCCGACCTTTTGTTTCTGTGAGTTTCATTTGCATTTTAACGCCAACCTTACTTAGTGATACTATTTTTCCTCTACTTTTGTCCGCTGTTCTTTGAAGAAGGTGATGAGCTTTTGCTATACTTTTTCCTTTACAATTTATTAACAATACTTGAGAAAAGGTATTCAATGTAATTTGTCAGAATTATAATGTAGTCATTTTTAATTAGAAAGTGGAATGCATCAATATTCATGAACACATAAATTTGATTATAAATACATCAGTCAGACTGTTTATCAATTTGTTAAAAAATATTTCTATAAATTTTTTTTATTCTAAACTTTGCAAGACAAAAAGTATACTTAAATAACCGCAGAATATTAAAAATTTTGACATATTAAATAAAGTTATTACTAGTTAATGAATAAATAGAAATATATACAAAGAGGATAAAAGAAAATTGAACGGAAAGAACGCAAGTGATAAAAACTAAAAAAACTAAGTGAATGTTTGCGAAGAGGAAGAAAGAAAAAAGATTGGTCAGAAGATAGGTAATTGTCGAGGTCTGGGAGAAATCATGCCAAAAGTTAGAGGCAGAGACGCCCACCTGCCAACCTCATTTCCCTTTTATCAAAGCTTACCTGAGTCTCTCCTTTGTTACGCCTCGCCCGCGTGCACGCGGGGCGGATTATTTGGTGGAATAACTTACAATTAGTTATTATGCGACACGCGCAACGCTCCAGGAGAAGAAGCTTGACAAGCGCGGCTTCACGAATTCATGATGAGGCGTCTACCTAAATTTCGAGTCTTTTTCATACTCATTTTTCTTCTCTTTTGATGCTATTGAAAATGGAAAAAGCCTAGATATGTCAGCGACGTAATGAACAATTAGATCTTATTACATTTGTCATACTTATCAAACTCCTGGAATATTGCGAATGAAAATATCTTTAGCAAATTCTTATATTCTCATATTTCTTCTATTTCTAGTAAACAATTGAAAACTGAAACAGTTATCGCGATTCGTGATTATTTATGTTGTTAATCTCATATCCAGGCCAATAAACACGCATAAGTGCACCCATCAGTTTTAAGAATTGATGAGTTCGTTTCATACTACAGATGATCATTTATAAATCAATCACTACTAAATATTTAGTCTGCTTAGTTAATAAATCTCATTCCACTCATGAATATATTGAATTTTAATCATTTTACGTTAATATTATTATCATCTTAATAAAAATCCAATGTTTAGGACATATTTATCGACTCAATTATTTAATTCAAATATATTTGGTTGATCTAGTATTAAAATCAAATTTTTGCCCTAACAATAGCATCAATAGAACAAAAACATTATTTTTTTATTCCATAAGATTTTAATTAAATGTTTTCCGTCAGTTGACGACTGTTCCGCTTAACAAATTAAAGACGACAAGCGTCGAGCAATCGACAAAAAACGACAAGGAGTTAGATACATATATATAAAGTGGATAGCGAAGAAGAGATTGATTGAAAGGTCGTTTACTTGTACCTTTAATCGGATCGCTCGACGTTCCTCTCCAACTATCTCGAGAGTAAGTTTCTTGCCGTCTGTCGTGCTCTTTGACATGACTATTTCCATCTTTTTTTCTCGATATTTATATTAATATATAGGCAATACTGGTAAAAATCAAACGGAAAGATTTACTATTCATTCGTCCTAAATTTTTCGTTCAATTTCTGTCTTTTTCGCCGCAGGTCTTTTCGAAGACAAACATTTCCAGAAATAAGAGATTCGATTCTAACTCTCTCTTTTCAGCTATAAATTTGTTACACTGCTTGGTTATGAAAAATGAGAGCTTAGCTAAAAAGCAATTAACTTTTCGGGTTATGGAGTGCTGCTGTTCGACGTGGCACATGGGGATAATGCATTTTACGTTAATCGAGTAGTCATTTTCCGTGGCGCTCCTATCGCTACCGTCGTAGCTCTTTTTGCCGCTCGGCTGCACTCTCGTCATTTTTCGGTAATAGAGGCCTTTCTCATTAGTGTGCTTGTCGAAAAATATGCTGGTTCGACGCTTCTGAAATGCTGATGCCGCACGCGGATGAATAAAAAGAGCTAAGTACTTTAATTGGAATTGGGGGCGGGAGAAGATAGCGACGTCAAAGATAGTGACAGTCAAGCCTACGAAGAGGCTTGATTAAAAATTGTGGTTTTGCTTCAGATATTTAAAAAATTAATATGAGTTGCAATGATTCATTGTGTTTGATTTTGTTATTCGAAAATTGGACGTTCAATTAATTTGTGAATAACTAATATGTAGATGTAGATTATGAATTCATGTATTTCAAAACGTATTCGCAATAACACGAATTATGAGCATAATTCACAAATAGATAATAAGAATATTCCGGTTCTAACAATTTCATTACCTTTTCATAATCAATTCTTCTTTACTTGTCAATCAGCATTTAAGAAGTATAACATTCGTTGTCATATAATTACTGAATCATAAGTTGAATAGCATTATAATGTTAGAAAAAGATAAATATGAAAAATGGTCTGAAAAATGTATTGTTTACAAGGTTAAATGTCAAAGTCTTCAGTAACATATATTGATCAAACAAAAAGAAAACTACTACAAACAATCAAAGAACATGAAAATACTCCGTTAGATAAAATATTGATAAAATATAAATAAATATTTCGTTAGATAAATGTTTGAATGAAAATCCTACACATAAGTTTAATTTTGATAATGTTTAAATCAATGATAGAGAAATTAATAAAAGTAAAAAATGAATTTCTGAATTGGTCTTTATCAATACTCATTGTCACACTGTTAATTGACAGGACACACAGCTTTTAAGTAAACAATTCTAGAGAATTTTTAAATTTATTACAGATAAATAATTTTAAAGGTAATTCCACTAATCTAATTCAAGTTAATCTTTATATGCGTTCAATTCTATAATTCTAGATTTAATATGATTAGATTAATAGTAATGGTTTCATTCCTCTCTTTTATACTGACAACGTTTGACTCTTGATACCTGTTCTTTTAGTGTTGATTTGTCTCTTGTTACATTTAATTATGGTTATCGTTAGGCATTTAGACTTTTAACTAAATAAAATTGTATTTTATTCATACGACAAATATGGATTCGTTCATCACATTCGTCTTTTGATTGATTTTTGTTGTTATTTGAGTGTAATCTGGAGTTGACTTTCCAAAGTTTGAATAATTTTTATTTGTAATTATTATGTAATATGTAAAGTGGCATGAACTACGTTTTCAGTAGATTGGTTAAATACAATATCAAATAGTTCGAAAAATCGTACTCTAGGCATGTTTGTTACCACAGTGGTTTTTGAATAAATTGCAAAATGCTATAACGAATTGAATCCTAAGAAACGTGTTTTTAAATGGCATTAAGTGACAATTTTTCGACATCTGTAATTAAATACTCGAATTAAATTATGAGTCAACTAACTTTTGATTAGTCAAATGTTTATTTATTACTGCCAAATACATATAAATGATTTAACTATACAATTTAGACAAACAATATTTAATAATTTCAAAAAACAAAATTTTCAACCATTCCGTTAATTTTTTTACGTTAATAGATTTTCCCAACTTCATGGCTGCAAAGATGAAGAAAGAAAAAAAGCGGACGTGTTAAAAGAAAACGAAAAGTAAATGGCGCCGATAAAACGAGAGGCAAAAAGTACAAGAGTGATAAGGGCGCATAAAAAAAAGTAGATAGCCTATGGTAGCTCTCGAGAAATTGGCGTCGTTAGATCGAAAATTCCACAAACTACAAGGCGCTGATTTTCTCTTCAGGAATGGACATCCCTTGCAAATTGACTTTTCTCTCGTTTTCCCCGAGTGAAACGAATATTCGCATGCGTCCTGGTCTCTCTTTGAGAGAACTTCTTTCTCTTTTCGTCGACGAGGGAAACTTCTTGCGAAACAAGCTTCATCGCGCTTACGTAAACTGCACTAAGCAGAGAAAAAGAGAGAACCCATCGCGTTTGTTAGAGAGAGAGAGAGAGAGAGAGAGAGAGAAAATGGCCTTGCTATAAGGTGTAAAAACTCGCGTTTTCCGGAAAATTCATTTGACTTTTCTTTGTTAAAATTGTTCGCTTCGCTTGCTTTAGCTAGACCAATAGCAAATTCTCTTGCTGTTCAATGTCTATCCTGTACCGTTTTTCTTGTTATCAAGC